AGTATATTTATCTATACATACTGTCCCTCTATCGCACTGTACCGTCTTTACACATGTTTAGACAGGACGCTTCCTCTGCGTGGTTCTCCCCCTAAATGGGGGGCCAATAAAAAAGGTACATGTTCATTACCTTACAAAAGTAGGGACTGGTTGGCAGCAGTGAATTAACAAAGGGCAGGAAGAAGGGGTGGGTGAGGGAGAGTCTATAACCAAATAAAACAAATGAAAGTAACAATGTCCAGATCAGCCATTTTCCTCCCTGGGAGCAACAATGTGGCACGGTTTGGAGTCTATGGTCCAAGTCTTCCAACCCAGCCCCGACTCAGTGTTTGTTTAAGTATTGCGTGTTATATAGGGTTCTCCATGAACAGGGGGGGGGGGGGGGGGCACGTCACCTCGTATTACAGCTCCTTACCCTTCCGCTTGTGACCGAGCTGCTTTATAATCCCACCAAGGCAAAGAGAGACCGGTGCCAGTTTCTAGGTGGAATGGGGGGGGGGGGGGTTGTAAATGGTCTTTCCCGTTTGCCCAGATTTTTTTTTGCCATGTAGATTTGGAGCAAGGCATATAATGGGGGTTTGACAGCCCCCTTGGGTTTAAACTCCATAAAAGATCAGTCCACCGAGGGGCCCACCTCTGTACCACAGTTGAAATTGTTAATATCCTGATAACTAGGACATATCTGGGCACAGCCAGAAGGCCAAGGTATGTCTGTATAGTGCCTTGTGGACATCTAGGAGCAGGTCTGGGGAAAGACTTTAGCCCTCATTTCATTAGTCAGATAAAGTCTCCTCTCTCGTGGATCTGCAGCTTGGCTGGGTAAAGCAGCTGAGTGTACACGCTTCCCTGTCCATCGTCTCCATGTAAATGGAAGTTTCATGGTGCAGTCTCAGTTTAGGATGCAGTGTGGACTGTGGAGCTGAATGCATTGGGTTCCACTGGAAAACACACCTGGAGTTAATGCCACTAGGCTGCGCTCACCACCAGGTCAAAATGAACCTACAAAAGCTCCACTAAGGCCAACCCAAACCCAAGGTGAGAGAATAAAGGTTACAGTACATCCTTCTGTTGGTAATGTGAGATGGTGCTGGCATTTACATCTATAATGGGAGAGCTCTTCAAATCGTGAGGCCCCCCAATTTCAAACGCTCACCTGCCACCAGTGGGGCATGCAGTCTTCCCCCTAAAGTGAAAGCTGTGGCAAGGGCGCATGGCCCCTCGGGTGGAGAGTGTGTGTAGGCATCCTTTAGGCTAGGTTCATGCCACTCAGAAGGGCCCCACTGCTCTAGGGGATATCCATACAGATTAAAGGATTATATATATATAAAAAAAAAATTTGTTACACAAACCACCGTTCACCAAGCCACGTTGACGTTACCACGATGCCCTTGCCACACTACATGCAGAGGTCACAACGTGTTGAAGGCTTGGCAGCAGGTATGTGGTAAATGGTACACCCTCGGGGAGCAAAGGGAGTGCAGCACTCGGAATGGTTCTCCCACACCAAATGGAGGACAATGGGAGAAAGGAGATGGAGACGCGTTGGGGGTGGCCTTGGTCTGCGGCAAGGCTCGTCGGCAGAGCAGAGGGCCATGTGATGTACCCCTCCAGAGTAGCAACTGAGACAGCTAAGATGGTGCACGAGAGCCTGGCAGAGGTGGGAGCTACCTTGGGCCAGCTCCTGCTGCACTCATCTCTGGGTTGTGCCAGCTAGCCATTTCCACCACTGGCTCATGTAGGCTGTGAGACAATACAATTTTACTAAAAAGCAGTTCAAAAGGAGGTGTTTGTGGGTATGCACAGTAAAAATACGCATTGGATCAAAGATGGGGTATAGGAAAGGTACCACTTTTATTTTAGATACCGGCAAGAAGTTGCAATTTGACAAGAGCCATTTACAAAAAGCACTTTTAAACCCAACCCCCACAAATGGTGTACATCATTAGCAGTTCTGAACAAGTAGCATCAAGTCTAAACAAAGACAAAGGCATTAATAAATTGTGCTGTGGGGTCAACTCATGAAACAAATAGGGAACACTTGGTAGGCATTAAGGACCCAAAATGGATGGAAAGTGCTTGGGCCAGTCACAGCAAGACACTTTTGAATTTGTATTTCATGATCAACATTGCGTTTTGACACCACATGGTCTGCCCCAACAGAATTGTGTACATAATGTAAAGTGTTACATTTTATACAAAAGCTGTGTCTACCAATTGATTGCAAATGGCTTAAAGATCGCATAGTACCAGGAAGCAAATTCCAGACCCTTCAAATTGTACAAGTGCAGAAAAGCTGTACGTGGCATTGAAATGTTTGTTGTGGTGTCTATTTAAGGGGTCGTCTTCTAGTGTACAGGTTTAGTAGAAGTAGATTCTGAAAGACAGGGAAGTGAAGAATGGTTAGGGAACAAATTAAAGGGACACCTGGGAACATGCAACTTGACTCGAATGTTGCACCTTTCATATCACGTGCAGTGACATTAGAATGCTAGGTATAAAAATTGCCCCCATAATTAACGAGATCTGACCAATTCTGCACAACAGGTATGAGCCCTAGGGTTTTGCTTGTATGGCTAAAACATTTTTAGTTCCACCTTTTGGAAGAAAACCTTTTACATTTTCACCATGGACGTCACTTGATCCAACTCCACTATGTCAGCGAGTGGTTGAGAAACAAGAGGAGCTCACAAAAAGAGAGTTGTTCATGTCGATGCCACAAAGCGTTCATTCTACATCCAAATGCAGCCAGCATAAACTACTCAAATATAATTGAATCATTCATGGCTAATTTAAGTGTTGTATGAAAACACCAGCACCTTAAGAAGTTTAAGAAGTTTATAGCAAACATTGATTGGAATAAACTGTAATGTAAGAGCACAATAAAAGGAACTTAAATTATATTTGAGATGAACACACCACTGCAAATGACACCAGCATCTTCAGCATGAACACAGTTGTGTTGCCCCCATGGCAGGTGAGGACAATTTCCTAAAGAGGACTCCAACCCATTGCATGTCACATCATCCAGCCAGATGGTGCCATTGCCCTGACCAAAGTAGGCATTTGATAGGGCAGAAAGAGCAGCTCCACAGCCGACCTTTCGGCAGACAACCTGGGCATCATTGATATTCCAGTAATCATCACAGACTGTGCCCCAGGACCCAGAATAGAGGACCTCCACTCTGCCTTGACATGCACTTACTCCTCCAACCAGGCGAAAAGCCGATTCTGGAGAGAAAGCGATTGGACACTGTTAATAGTTATAGTACTAGCCTATAGGCCCGTCCAAGGACGAGTGTATTTTAGTTAATCGGAAATGACCCACTCGTGATTATTTATGAGGGGGGAGTGACAGACACGCGCGACGCAGACACTGGGCTCATAGTATTATATATAATCACACATGCTACCATCTGGAACCAAACTGTCATTGCAGGACGTATCAATTTTACATCAATTAAAAAGTCTAAACTCACCAATTGGTTGAGATGTCGGCTGCCTTGTAGTGGGTGATGAGCTTATTGGAGCTGTAACCAATAAAGTGAATGTTAAAATGGTGTTTTCCTTTATCTGAGATATGGACAGTGGAATTCATATATGTAGTGCTGTATTCAGTGGTTCTTTCGGTAAAGTCATGCATGTAGCAGTAAAATGTAAATACAAAAAAAATAAAGCACGACGTTTCTAATGCGACACAAGCGCTCAGGCAGACATGGGAAAAAAAAAGACATCACACAGAACGGCAAACACAGCAAGAAGATGGGAGACGCACTCTACAAACCTTAGAAACATGTGATGCAAACCAGTCGGCCAACAGTTGGACACTAATCTGGTTGACCACGCATTTCAAAAGACTGCTAAATTCTGTTCATTTTCTGGGCTGAACATATCAACGTAAGCAGAGGACAGGGACTCGTGAACAGACACGAGGTGCAAGGTAGCAGAGATACAGGGAGAGAGGTTTTTGACAACCAGAGTACCACCACACCAAGGGACATGCATGGAGAAGTACACAGAAAGCCGACCGGAGGAACAATGTACAGGGACCTATAAAGGATGTAGAGGTGGGGGAAGGGTGGCAAGAGAAGTACCAATGCAGGCAACATCGTGGGAAACAAACGGAGAAAGCACATGGGAAAACGAAAATTCCAACCACGGCAAATGGAAATGAAGCAAAATGACAATAAGGTGCAACCTTTTTATACTAGATGCATATTAGCACTTAAAGTTAAACTGAAGATATTTTGAGATGTACCCACCACTGCAAATGACACCAGCATCTTCAGCATGAACACAGTTGTGTTTCCCCCATGGCATGTGAGGACAATTTACTAGAGAGGCTTCGGATCCATTGCATGTCACATCATCCAGCCAGATGGTGCCATTGCCCTGACCAAAGAAGGCATTTGATGGGGCAGAAAGAGCAGCTCCACAGCCGACCTTTCGGCAGACAACCTGGGCATCATTGATGTTCCAGTAATCATCACAGACCGTGCCCCAGGAGCCATTATAGAGGACCTCCACTCTGCCTTGACATGGGCCTCCTCCTCCAACCAGGCAAATGGCTGTCTCTGTGGATTACAGAAATGTACATTGAATAAATTGGCAAGTTTTATTATAACGCTATTGAGATCCTTGTCATTTTTTTCCCTAACGTTGATGATTTGAAAAGTCAACATTTTAAAAAAAAGTTTGTGTATTAGATCACATCCATTTATAACAAACTTATTTTAAAGTATGCATTTGCATATCCATTTGACAAATTTTTACTCACCAGGGGGTTGAGTTGTTGGCCGCCTCGTAGTGGTTGATGTACTTGTTTGAGCTGTAACCAAGTCAGATTTTTCACTTTCAAAAAAAAATGGTATTTAATTGACCGACAAAAGTTAATATACTATATGAACATTTTGTAACGTATAAAATATGCAGCAAAACATTAGCATTTAATATTAGAATAATTACATTGGGAACTTTAAAAAAAAAAATTGAGATGTACACACTGCTGCAAATGACGCTAGCATCTTCACTGTGGCTACAGTCATGCTGTCCCCATGGGCGATGAGAACATGGTCCCAGAAAGGATTCAGAACCGTTGCATCTGACATCATCCAGCCAGATGGTGCCATTGCCCTGACCAAAGTAGGCATTTGATGGGGCAGAAAGAGCAACTCCACAGCCGACCATGCGACAGACAACCTGGCCATCATTGATGTTCCAGTAATCATCACAGACCGTGCCCCAGGAGCCAGCATAGAGGACTTCCACCCTTCCTTGACATGGGCTTCCGCCGCCAACCAGGTGAATGGCCATCTCTGTGGATTAAATATATTTACATTAGTGGCAATGGGTCACTATGGCACCTAGTGCCAGCTCATGACAGAGGAACTGGGCGTGTAGTAAGTCCTCTGCCAGCAGGATACACAATGTCATGGAAATGGTCCCTAGGGGGAGCAAGGTTCCGGTGGCTGGCAGAGTGGCAGGCAGTCTTATTGGCTGGCAAGGGCATATGTGGGCCAAAGGCGATAAGGGACATGTTGTAGAGCCCAGGGGACCTTCTTGCGAGTTCCAGAAGGGGGCGTGGCCAAGGGCAGAGCAAGGCTGTGTGCTAGAATGGAACGCGCTGTGTTATGCGTCTAGTGTCGTTGTGCTCGGAATCGTGGGTCAGGCAGTGCCGACCCGTTTATGTAGTTACCCCGTTGTGGTCGTAGAATGAACGTGCGTCTCAAGTGAATACACTACATATTGAATAAATTAGGAAGCTTTAATCACTTACCATCGAGAGATCCTCGTTTAGTACACCAACTTGACGATTTGAAAAGGGAACCTTTAATTAAAATGTGGTTGTACGTATTGTAGACACCCATTTACAAACTTTTCATTTAAAAAAAAAGTGTACGAATTTGCATCTCCAGTTTGACACGTATTCTCAATAGGGGGTCGAGTTGTTGGCCAATGTACTTGCTTGAGCTGTAACCCATTAAGATTGCTCATGTTTAAAAAGTGGTATTGAATTAAGGTATATACATATCATGAAAATTGTATTTCATGCAATAAGCAAATATGCTAATTGATCATAAAATAAAAATTGACATTATGAACATTTTTAAGATGTACCCACCACTGCAAATGACACCAGCATCTTCAGCATAAACACAGTTGTGTTGCCCCTGTAGTGTTTATAAAGACGAATAAACTTCTTACGAGGCACTGTTTATTGTAATTCCTTTCCCACACAGTCCTTAACACACAGGAGGGGTATACGGTCCCCTCACCCGATACCCTAAGGAGGTACAGCCTCCGGACTCAGCGCGACTTGCACGTCTACCGCTACCCTAGTCCAGAGTCCTCCGGCTGGGACCCAGGGGAAGCTGACCCACCACTGACCCGGTGGGTCCTGACCACTGGATACGCTGAGCCTTAGCCCTCAGAAGGGCTAGAAGGCTGGTCCAGGGGTCCAAGCTAGTCTTCAGCCCGGACTTTGGTCTGTGTAGGGAGAGAATTAGAGCTCTGCGTGGTCACCCTTCTTACACTCGTTTGTGGCCAGGTATAACCAATAGCACATGGAACCGTCTGATTGGTTATCCCCAACTGTGGCTACGATCCACTTCACCTCATCTGACCAACCGTTATGTAAACGGAGGTAACGCTGCACTGCCCCCTTCATACCTGGTGGAAATGCAGGTTACTGAACAGTGTGTAGTTAACACCTCCATGACAGGTGAGGACGATGTCCTAAAGAAGACTCAGACCCATTGCATGTCACATCATCCAGCCAGATGGTGCCATTGCCCTGACCAAAGTAGGCATTTGATTGGGCAGAAAGAGCAGCTCCACAGCCGACCTTTCGGCAGACAACCTGGGCATCATTTATGTTCCAGCCATCACAGATCGTGCCACAGGACCCAGAATAGAGGACCTCCACTCTGTCTTGATATCCGCCTACTCCTCCAACCAGGCGAAAAGCCGATTCTGGAGAGAAAGTGATAGGACACTTAGTTTATAGTACTAGCCTATAGGCTGTCCAAGGATGGGTGTATTGTAGTTAATCCGAAATATTTAAAGGAAAATTACCCACTCGTGATTATTTATGGAGGGGGGAGTGACACGACACACACGACGCAGACATTGGGCTCATAGTATTATATATAAATCACACATGCTACCATCTGGAACCAAACGTTCATTGCAGGACGTATCAATTTTATATCAATTAAAAAGTCTAAACTCACCAATCGGTTGAGATGTCGGGTGCCTTGTAGTGGGTGATGAGCTTGTTGGAGCTGGAACCAATAAAGTGAATCTTAAAATGGGTTTCCTTCATGGAGGTTTAGAAAATGCAATTCATATATATCTGTCATTGTAATATTACCTTTATATATGACGCATTTTAGCACTTAAAGCGTTAAACATATTTTGAGATGTACACACCACTGCAAATGACACCAGCATCTTCAGCATGAACACAGTTGTGTTGCCCCCATGGAAGGTGAGGACAATTTCCTAAAGAGGACTCCAACCCATTGCATGTCACATCATCCAGCCAGATGGTGCCATTGCCCTGACCAAAGTAGGCATTTGATTGGGTAGAAAGAGCAGCTCCACAGCCGACCTTTCGGCAGACAACCTGGGCATCATTGATGTTCCAGTAATCATCACAAACCGTGCCCCAGGACCCAGCATAGAGGACCTCCACTCTGCCTTGACATGGGCTTCCTCCTGCTCCAACCAGGCGAATGGCTGTCTCTGCGGATTAAAGAAATGTACACTGAATACATTGGTAAGCTTTACTATGCACTGTTGTGAGATGCTTATGTTTATTTTTTCCCTAACGTTGATGATTTGAAAAGTAAACCGTTTTTTTTAAAATGTGGTTGTTGTTATGCGTATTAGATAGAGCTCCATTTTACACGAACTTTTGATTTAAAAAAAGGTATGAATTTGCATATCCATTTATACTCACCAGGGGGTTGAGTTGTTGGCCGCCTCGTAGTGGTTGATGTACTTGTTTGAGCTGTAACCAATTAAGATCTTACTTTAAAAATGGTATTTAATTATCCGATAAAAGTCAATATACTATGCTCATTTTGTAATTTATAAAACACAGCAAAACATTACCATTTAATATTAGAAAAATTACATTTGGAACTTTTATTAAAACATATTTTGAGATGTACACACCGCTGCAAACGACGCTAGCATCTTCCCTGTGGCTACAGTCATGCTGTCCCCATGGGCGATGAGAACATGGTCCCAGGAAGGATTCAGAACCATTGCATCTGACATCATCCAGCCAGATGGGGCCAATGCCCTGACCAAAGTAGGCATTTGATGGGGCAGAAAGAGCAGCTCCACAGCCAACCTTTCGGCAGACAACCTGGGCATCATTGATGTTCCAGTAATCATCACAGACCGTGCCCCAGGACCCAGAATAGAGGACCTCCACTCTGCCTTGACATGGGCCTCCTCCTCCAACCAGGCAAATCGCTGATTCTGGAGAGAAAGTGATTGTACAACGTTAAGAGGTTATTAGTGTCAGCCTATTCAAGGACAGGTGTATTGCAGTTAATCCGAAATAGTAAATCTAAAATAATGACCCACTCATGATTATTTATGAGGGGGGGGGGGAAGCTCCATGTGGAGTGACATCACGCACGGGACAGACATTCTTGGCTCATTACAGTAGTAAACTGCCAGGGAGTACCTGGCACTGCCTGGGGGAAAAATTATTACAAAACATAACAAAACATAACAAGTGGTAAGCTGTTGTGAAAGCCCGGCGTTACATTTGTCCATGAACAAAATTATAAAGAGGCTTGAAGTCCTGGAATCAGAAAGTAAGAACGTGGTGGGTAAATGGTAGATCTAAAAAAAGGTTTCTGAAAAGTGTCAGCCCCTCACCATCAAACAATATTTTTTACTCCCTCCCCCAGGTATATGGCTACACACAATAGTGAGTAGTGTCTAGTGACTCATAGTATCTACCGACAATGCAGCAGTATCTACTGACTGTACTATCAAGCAACTACAGTAGTAACTAACGCTACAGTAGTATCTATCGACAGTAGTATTAACCAACTATAGTAGTGGGTACTAGCTGTAGTAGCTATACTAACTGTATATTAGCAATGTAATGGTTGTAGTAGCAGCTGTATTAACATTGACGGCAGGAACTTAGAATCTTTGGTTCTTTTGGTAACGTCACAGAAAATAAGTGACTAAATACTAGAGAAAATATCATGAAAACAAAAACTGCTAATGTAGACTGTAGCCTGGTTCTTATCCTTAGTGAGCATACTGGCAGTCTATAATGGCTATTAAATGCTCACGTGGTTTAATAACCATTGCTACAGTCTACATCATAGAATGCCAGTACACACTCCGATTAAGAAACAGGCCAGTCTACATTAGGGTTTTGCGTTTCATTCCTTTTACCATTTTTAATAACTTTGTTTTATTATAATGTTTCTATCTACACGACTTTACCGAAAGAACCAATAATATAGTACTTAAGTGCCGTGGTGAGGCCTAGTCCCGTGCAGAGCCCTCGGCGTCGCCTAGATTTGCCCAGCCAGCCGAGGTGACACCTTGGCAGGCTGGGCCGCGTCCCCCCCCACCCCACCCACCATTCATCCACTCTACAATAATAGTATCCAAGCGCTATAACATTAGTATCTACCGACCCTATCATAGTAAGTTCAAACATTGGCGTGGAGGGGGGGGCATTACACTTTGAAGAATTTACTTCAGCGGTGTATTATTATTTTTACACCAACGAGAATTCCCCCCTCCGAACGCGTGCGCGTTGCTAGGGGCAACCACAGCCCGGATTTGTCACGCATGCGCAGACGCGTGCTTTTGCGCACGCAGAGCAGCGTTATATAATAAATAGCCACAAGGTGTTAATGCAACTACTTTAAAGTTGACCGATGCAAAAATCGATTAGCACTGGCTTACCACAGGGCTTACCACCCAGCAACTGGGTACTTTTTTGTATGTAAATGCCACGGTTTGCGAGCCAAATCCTTTGCATGTTTCATCCAGAGACAAGTGACGCTAATAGGCAAGATATAATCACACAGGCTACCATTTGGAACAAAACTGTCATTGCAGGACGTATCAATTTTACATCAATTAAAAAGTCTAAACTCACCAATTGGTTGAGATGTCGGCTGCCTTGTGGGTGATGAGGTTGTTTGAGCTGTAACCAATAAAGTGAATGTTAGCGTTTTTCTTTATCCGAGGTCTAGACAGTGCACTATATAATAAATTGTCAATGTAATAAACGTTATTAGACGCATGAGCATGGCAAATTTAAATACATATTTTGAGATGTACACACCACTGCAAATGACACCAGCATCTTCACCATGACCACAGTTGTGTTGCCCCCATGGCAGGTGAGGACAATTTCCTAGAGAGGACTCCGACCCATTGCATCTGACATCATCCAGCCAGATGGTGCCATTGCCCCGACCAAAGTAGGCATTTGATGGCGCAGAAAGAGCAGCTCCACAGCCGACCATGCGACAGACAACCTGGGCATCATTGATGTTCCAGTAATCATCACAGACCGTGCCCCAGGAGCCAGCATAGAGGACCTCCACCCTGCCTTGACATGGGCCTCCTCCTCCAACCAGGCGAATTGCTGATTCGAGGAGAAAGTGGTAAATGCATTAGAATTGCCACCTCACACTCATGAAGAATGTTCATATACTTGATCAAAAACGTTGTCATCATTTGGTTCTCATAAGTATTTAATATACAAATACAGGAAATCCTTGCCCATCGCGGTTTTATCAAAATGCGCATTTCAGCTAGACAGTTTACCCAATGGGAGGTATGTTTTTCGGACCACAGTGGTGGTGTTTCATCTACTCATCTTCATGTTGACTAGTAGTACTGTGGGAGTGATGCATCTGTTTTAAGGTGTGAATGAGACTGATAACGATTTACTTACAATTGTGATTTGTGTAATAATGTAACACGCATAAAATGGCACATTGCAAATGTTCACAATTGCATCTAGCTGCCTTTTCATAGAAAACGTTAGTCATTCAGACACCTCGGTGGTGAATCATGAACGTTCAAGTGAAAATGTTAGTGGCGATCTTTGGGCTGCGAGTGGGAATCGTAATGAAGACAGGTTTTGTTTTGAAGTGAGATTGGAAAAAGGTGGTATCCACACAAGACTCGGCATCTTTTAGAATAATGTCAAGGGTGGAAATAGGACTTAGTTAAAAAACGAGGGGTTGGTCATTTTGAACTCGGTAAAAAAAAATTCGCACAAGGTATATTGTCGAACACTGTTTTGACCAACACGCAACTCTCAACGAGTTCTGACTGTACATTGCCATGAATCATTAAGCCATCTATTCTTTTCAGTCTTGTTTTACTTTTCGTTTTTGATCGTGTAAATGTAAATGTGGTCAGACCATCAATGTGTCATCCAATTTCTAAAGTCAGAGGGTTTTAGGGTGTAGAAAAATATATTATTCTACTAAACATAGATATTTCTATTATTTTGCTACCTACGTCACGTTACCAAAAGAACCATAGAGTATGGATTTCTGCAGTCACGAAAGCGTCAAATCAAGCTTGGTTTTAGTGTGCTTGCATCAATGTCTTCCATGTATAGATGCACAACCGCAGGAGATGGAGTCCATTGCTGCTCCTTCTAGTTATAGAACCCACCTTTCCACAAGAATTAAGCATTTTTTAGATAGCGCTCAGCTTGTCGTGCAATATCTTTGGATAAACCTGTATTAGTTATCAGAGTAATTTAATATACTCCACTGGAATCCTCGTGACCAGAGAAGTCACGTAAAAAAAAAAACTCTAGAACAGGGTTAAGCTTAAATTTGTAAACTATATTTACAAGATGTTCTTCATTCATCAAAAACTGAGGTTCTGCCGATGTGGGGCTGTATGTTACGTATTGTGCTAATTTGTATTTGGCAGAACCTATTCTACTCACGATCTGTATAAATAAAGACCTTAATATGTACATCTCAAAAACCTCCAGGGTACTTTCTTAGGCAAGGTAAAAAAAAGCTGAAATTTGCTATATTAGATAGCTTCTATGACAAAACAGGAAAACTCTGCATAGCCGATATTTTTTTTAAGACCCCCAAATCTTGATTTTATTTCGCCCCATAAACATGTTCGTGCACGTCATTCAGAAACTGTTAAAAATGGCGAACTTATTCGTTTCACAAAGCGTTAAACGGCAAATAAAATTAGAGAACCATTGTTAATCTTTTATCGTTTGAGATTTAGGATTAAAACCAATGTGAATTAACAAAAATATGCATTAGGATGGTCATGGCTGAATAATTTGAGAACGGTAAAAGATAGGAGCTTACCCTCAGGAGAATTAAGTTACTACATGTTGTTCCAATGGGTATATCTTTAAAAATAATAAGTTGAATCAAGGCGTAAATTATTTCTTTCATTATGGAAAAACAGAGCAGTTGTTAGCGTCTGATCGTAGCTAAAGTGTAAAAAAGCAAATCGGATTAATTATTTAAAACTTTTGCCTGGCAAAGTCAGCCTTTATGAACTAGTGGGTCTTAATTGGACATCAGGCTTGTGTCTTTGGCAAACAGTAAAGTCTTGGTGGTTGACGCCTAAGGTTTGATCAGGAATTGCTCTTCCTTGGGAACTAATGACTTGCAAATGATCGCTGTAGTCTTAAGTTCCAAGGCATTGGTTAGGTCTCGTTTGATTTCATCCAGTAAATATGTTTTTATTATCATAATCCCCACGAAGCACCACAACAGTTGATCGGCCCTTATCAGCAGCAAGAACTTGGATATCTACGTTTGCTTTTAATTCTCTTCAGGCTTTTTGCCTTATGGGGAGTGTAATATTTGTTTTTGGAAATGTACTGGTCGTAATTATTTTGGCAATCTCATGGTAGGTCATCTCAGCTTGATTATGTGGGAGATGTCTACCTACCGATTCCACTTCAGTAATCATCTCATTGACAGGAATTGTACGTGGGGCAACAGTAAAATTAAGACCTTTACATAGGACTAATGTTATATCGTGCATTAATTAAATGTTAACCGGTTTATGAAGTGAATTTTTTTAGTTGAGTTGTTATAGCAAATGCTATGTTGATTAGATGGGGCTAATGATCAACATGCGACAAATAACAAATAAATACGTCCAAAAACAACTGTGGCAAAAACACGCATGCCAACATGGGCACTCAACTGATTTTAATAATGTTGAGCAAAACTGATTACAAACAGCCAACACTAAATCAGAGAAACTATTGAAATGAGAAAAACATTTTAACCGTTTTGATAGATATTGTTTTAGTGCTGCTTGGAAGCATATTTACAAGTAATGCTCTGTTTAATTGCATGCCTTTACAGGTCACCATACGCCGGTGGTGCTTAACTGCAAGCAGCCAACAGGTATTGCGATTTTTTTTGCACCAAAAACGGCCAAATGTGCGTGCATGGTGCACATGTGCAACACGCACGCAAATTATGGCGGTCAACTATGGATAACCCAACCAATAGAGAGCTATTGTAATTTATATGAATATATTAACTCGCCACCCCTTAAATTTTGATTTAAAGCTTTCGTGACTGCAGTAATTCATATTCTTAGTTTTTTTCGGTAAAGTCACGTTGAAGAGAAACAACAAAATAACAAAATATATATAAAACAATAAAAAATTCTCACGACGTTTCGACCATAACTCAAACGGTCATCTTCAGGTGTGTTGGTTTGCATAAATTTATTTTTAAACTCTGTATCATAGAGCCCAATGCATATCCGACCAGGAACACATAAGCAGTGAACTCAAGCACGTACACCAAGCTCTTAGGGCTAATGGTTACTCCGACTATACAATCCGCAAAGCTATCACTCAAACCATGAAGAAGAACCCTCTTGAGGAGCCTTTCAAAACCATCACTTTACCCTACATTGCAGGGATCACAAAAAAAGATCTCCAAAATCTTGAATAAACACAAGATCCAGGCCCGTTTCAACACATTACATTAAATCCGTGATCTGGTTCCGTCTGTAAAAGATGTGATTCCGGACATACAATACCCTGGTGTCTACAAACTAAGTTGCCTCTGTGGTAGTAGTTACATTGGAGAAACCAAACGCCATGTCTCGGACCGCATTCGTGAACATAAAGCAGACCTTAAACACGGTAGGACCAACACCTCGGCCGTAGCAGATCATTGTTCTAATTCAGTAGGCTCACATGCCATTGACTTTTCCAAGACGGAGGTTCTTTGTAAGCCATCTGGCTTCCATGAGAGATTCGTTCATGAGGCTATCCACATATACAAGCACAGAGACAATTTCAACCGAGAAGATGGATTCTATTTTAGCAATCATTGGAAAGATTTGATAAACCATTTCAGTTCTTAATTGATTGTTCACACTTACAGTGGCTTTCAGACAGCATACATTATAAAAAATTTCGTCTCCCCCTCCTCTTTTCAAAAAAAAATAGATGGACTAGTCCTGGGCAAACTGCCAAATCGCTGCGCGTGACGCCAACGTTTTTTATAAATAAATAAATGCGCCGTTTAAAAATACATTTATGCAAACCAACACACCTGAAGATGACCGTTTGAGTTATGGTCGAAACGTCGTGAGAATTTTTTATTGTTTTATATATATTTTGTTATTTTGTTGTATCGCCACCCCTTCTCTTCGCACTTAATTGGCTCACAAGTGACACCACATGTATTCTTCCGTTTAGAACCGAAACAAGATTTATCCACAACGCTGGCTATCGCCTGATGAGGCTGGTTGTAATTATCAACGAAACTTTGTATTCAAAATGGTAAATGTGGGTTTACTATGCAATACCGGTTTGCTGAGCTAGTAACAAATCGTTTTGTTTGCATAACAAACCTTACGAATTCGTTGTCAGGTGGTGGGTTTAACAAAGCATTTATATTTACATCGACTTAAAGCTTTTGTGACTGCGTGAATTCATAGTCTTTGGGTCTTTCGGTAAAGTCACGTAGATAGCATAAAAAGTATATTTACGCGATCTAACCAGAAAATATGTATACTTTCAGGAGGTATAGAGTTGTTTAGTCATATTTGAGCAAGGGTCACGCAAGGACATCTTGAACAAATAATGAATCAACGACAGCTGGTGCATAGCCAGGCGCAGGAAAGCACGGGATTGGTTGAAGACTTAAAATAAAAATGATATTTTGTGGGAAATAGAAAATAGCGAGGGGGAGAGCGAGGTGGCGAAGGAGACCAATGGACATGATTGGTGGAAGAGATGGAGAAGATTAGAAGGACCTCCCGGAATTTTCCAGAAGGAACGAGGAGGTTGTACAAAGTGTGACCAGTGCGTTTTCGATGGGGCCTGAGGTGCCACAAGAGTATGCACTGTTGCATGGAACAATGGTGGCCGAGGACGACGCGTCTGGACAGCCTATAATATGCAACCGAGTAGTATATTGATAAAATCTGAATCTTTATGCATAGGTTTAAATTACATGCATATCCCTGCAAATTACAAGCGTCTTGTATGCATGCATGTTGAACTTTTTGCACCGTACGTAGCCAACCGTGCGAATTGGAGGGGCGGGGGAAGGAAAACAAACATCTGTTACAAGTTTTTAATCTGTTGTCCAAGTGCATGTCAAAATCTGAGCCGAGCATGGATCTAAGGATAAAAACAAAGTTTTATTGCATTGCTGCAATGTGGTGGATTCCTTGTACATTGTTTTAGGATTTCTTTATTTGAATCAGAGGCATTGATTTGTGATACCTTGTCCCGTGAAATCGAACGTCATTACGAGTGCTATATAGCGCGTGAATTGCACATTCTTTCAGAGTTGTGGGATTGTATTATCATACCTTGCTGAGCTGCCACAGCCTGGATCGTGAGGACGAAGACCACAACGGCAGACCACATGGTGTCCTGGTTTTACTCGCACCTTGGTTTAAACAACAAAGACAAAGACCCCCAGTAAAGCCTTCAACACTGTTACATCACCACATTCTTCTCCGACGGTCCGATGTTTATTCATCCAATCAGGTCCTCATTTGAGGCAGTCGATCGAGGCAAGCCCAGAACCGGATCAGATATCAGTCACTGATATGAATGTGTTTATCTTGTAGATAGAAATGCACAATTATTATTTTAGTTGAGACGTACGTAAAAAAGTCAACATTCAACAAAATAGCATTTAATAGAGCCAATGATAATGGGATTCAAACTGCCATGTTTGGGTGTCACGAAGCCAGGAAACTGGAAACCACTTGGGCAATCTAGGTGTTGATTTAATGGCAAGATATACGATTGTTGAAAAAAATGCACACTTTTTGGATGTCGACATCTCAGAACAAACTATAAATGATTCAATGTTGATGCCAAATTATTTGTTCGCGGTTCGAGCCTTAGTCGGGTAGATTACCCGACACTGCATTGAAAAGCATAAATATATCCTATTCACCATTCTCGCTTAATTTGTATGTACAATGAACACCGATGATTGAATTAATGAAATGCTTTAATTTTTTAATTTGGAATAGTGCTTTGTGGATTGCATTAAATTGTATACCGTTTACTTTCGTAATGTATTTGTACTGCACAGGTTGACAATGTGTTAACAACGAGGCTACCGAGAAAGAAAGTCAGACTTTTAGGTCTCTACATTCACGGACATTGCAAGTTGATATCCGAGAGAGAAAATATGTGCAATCACTCAAGGTAAAAGTGATAGAAATACAAAGGAGGTGACAATCAACTTAACATTTAATGGTCAAATATTCATTAAATTTCGTACACAAATACTGTAACAAAAATTTAGTTGAGATACAAAATGTTAACAAATGTATCGTATACAATCAGATGAGTATTGTAAATTATCATTGAAAATGTAGGCTTGTTTAAATAGTGAATGTTGTGCGCAATGATTTTGTACACACATCTTTGTTGAGCAAGTATAAATTTATGAAATGCCGTTCTACCTACAGTAATAAAAAAACACCCTATGTGCAACTAAATCGGTGGAAAATGATAAATATCTAGAGTACACAAAAAAATGCTTGGGACACTTTTTTGCATGCATTTGTTAACTCCCATTATGTACTCTATTAAGCTCAATGAGATTTCACCTGGTTTCACACTTTATGCGGTATCCATGCAGCATGCTTATATAGCATGTAAGAAAGTATGCATGGTGCCAAAAAAACAGCATGGCAAGCCATGATACATCTTGTTTTGTGATATGCACATCAATAGTAAAGAAACTTGCCAAGTGATCCACAGTATAACGACTCGACAGCACTTAGAATTGTTATAACGACTACGTATGTAATAAGAAAAGAAATAAAACACATTATCTTAATTAGGCGATTACTCGTTAAAATACAATAATTAATTGGATGCAATCAAATCTGCCTCCTGAATGGCTTAAAGAACAGTGCATGCCAAGCTATAGTCAGCACTTGCAGTCATGGCATTGAAACAGCGATGTAATAATCATTTAGAAAAGACTGTTCATTGAAAGATAGGTTTTCCCTTTTTTGTTTTCTGGCAACAAAAACGGTACTGGTTCTTTCGCTAGCAAAACCAGTATTAAGATGTTAAAACACCAAACTGAAAACTCTTACCAGGAATCATGTCTGCAAAACCACAATGTTCGTGGTCAGAATGGTTTCAGTTTGGTGTTTCAACATCTTAACACCGGTGTTGGTGCAAAAAAAAAAAGGGCCGAGCCATTATCATATTTTGGTACTGCCAAAGGAGGCCCCATGATGAACTTTTAATTATTATACTTCACCATGGACAAAAATCACGTACTATATGCTCGATACACATAGTACTGAGTGCCTGATTGCAGCTAGCGTGTGTGAAGATTGTTTTATTTTATGGCCATATTAAAAACGCTCGCCTGACGACGCAGTGTCGAAAGAGCATCAGCTACGTCGGATGCTCTGGCTGCTCCTCTCACCTGCCGTGTTTATATAGACGAATCACAGAGCCCGGCCTTTCTGCAGGTACGTCACCTGACTTTGCATCGGCGACGAGTGATATCTAAACCGGTCCTTGGCTCCCTCGCCCCATTCTCCACCAATTACATTCTAGATGTATATAGCGCCCCGTGCATTTCCAAGAATGGGGAAGTATGGTCAAACTAAGAATAAAACAAGTCTTCATCTCCGATTATAGTTCACATCACGGCAGCAGCCAGCAATGTTTGGGACCATGGCAGTTTCTATTACAATTTCTTTGAGAAGTCTCCTTGTTTTAACTTATTGTTACGTTTGCCCATTATTATATATACATATTGTAAAAAATTAAGCCAGGTACCATTTAACAAATATTAAATAATTCACCGTGTGGGTAGAAAAGCATATTGATTTTAGTTTTTTGTGCGAAGTTACAAAAAAATCCACATTGGACAAAATATGAAATGGGATTTACACCATTTGGTGATTTGTGGCGACAAATAGGATTACTGAAAATTGCACTTCTTAGATAGACATATCAGAACAAAGTATTGTTAATCGATACCAAATGATGTATTAGTCGCTCCACCTTGTCAGGTACATGAACTTAAACCGAATTCAAAAGCAAAGATATCCAATTCAACATCCTCGCTTAATTTCCATGTACGGTAAAATGAAAAGATTGAATTTACGTTTACTGTACAGGTTGAGCATTTGTTTTCAAAGAAGCCGTTTAATTTCATACATAGTAAATATTTAGGCTTTTATGGCTCTACGTCCACGAGAAAGTGTTATCCGAGAGAGAAAATGAGTAATCACTTAAGGTAAAGGCGATGGAACTACAAGAGGTAACAAGGTCTTTGAAATTAAAATGGTCACTCATTTAATTGCGTAAACAAAACTTAGCAAAAATAAAGTCGAGTCACCAGCCGTGGCGAGTCTTTAAGTCTTTGTTAAAGTACAAATGTAGGGAATGCCCTTCCAGTGTGTAATAATATCTCCGATGCACTTTTAACGCAAAACAAGTGGACATAAGTTACTTTATTACGTGCTATATTAAGTCAAGGAGCTATCACCTTGTTTACTGTACGATATATATGCAGCATGATTATACAGCCTAATAGGGTGCACGCATGGTGCCAACAAAACAGCATAGCAAGCCGCGATACAAAACGTATTTCGTGACACACATGTTAAACGTTATAGACTTAAAACTAGTCGAATGATAGACATTGCCACATTCCACCCACCACAAGGTCAATGTCAAAATAAATGACCGCAAACGGCTTCCTTTTGTTAAGCGGAAGCTTTGCGACTCTTACCTACCCCAAGACCAGCACCCTGACACCACCGCCTTTCTTTCCACCAACTAATGGTGACTGACAACGGAGCCTGTTCTCTTATAGGGGTTTTTTGTCGACCTCGTTATACGGGAATTGGCCTCTAAGCGGGTGACCTGCGAGCGACTCGTGCAAGTCTCGCGCGTGCAATTAGTCCTCCAGAGAAGAAGCACGCGTTCTGATTGCGGTTGCTTCATCTGCATTGTCTTCATTGCATAGGCGTGAAAGCTTTGTTCTACATCAATCAACGACTGTAATTCCTCATGAGCCAGAATGTATCGCGTGGTCTGATTCTATTTCATGAACGTTTATTACATGGACATGCATGCTTTGTTCTAAAAAATAAAATAAATACTACAGAAATTTCGTCCAGATGTAATCCTAAAATAAGCACGTGGTCTGAAATACGTTTAATGTTTATAATAACAGAGATAATGTCTTTAGAATAGGTTCTTTCAGCCGTAATAAGGACGTGGCCTGACCTATTTTATGGTGGTTGGTGTAGAATTATAATCTTCTTCCTTAAAAGTCCGACATACAGACGTATTCACTCACGTTGCAGTTACACTTTATTTCAGCTCGTGGCATCCACGGCACGTGATCTTGGGGGCCGTCCATAAATGACGTCACGCGATTTTGGACGATTTTTGACCCTCCCCCCTTCCTCACGGCGTCACAAAAAGTCAGACCCCTCCTCAAATATGACGTCACAAAGCTCTGCCCCCCCCCCAAAAAAAATATATAAAATATGCTTCAATTAAACTATTGTCATTGTAGTGCGTATTTAATGTGGCGCTGCACTCTGGTGTTGTAGGAGAAAACAATTCTTAAAAAGTATATTTAATTAAGTAGAACGTGTTGTCTATATAAATTTAAAGTTGCGCATTTTGCTGTGACGTCAGATTTCTCAACCCCCTCCCCCCTCGTCACACATCGTCACAAATGTCTGACCCCCCCCCCCCCCACCTAGGTGCGTGACGTCATTTATGGACGGCCTCTTGTAGCACAGTTTGGTGCAATGTCAACTTCTCTCCCTACCCTTTGGTTCTTTCGGTAAAGTCACGTAGGTATAAAATATAAAATAAATTAAATCACGACGTTTCGATTGCAACACAAGCAATCATCATCAGGTGTGAAAACTACAGCACTCGTTTACCACCATACCTCCTCCTACACTGCTTTACCATGATACCCCTGAGTGGTTCTTCAGCGTCTCAGCCGTGCTCATCATGCACGACTGTCGACAGAGGGCAGCCTTTCAAGCACAGCAGCGCACATTACCATTCTGGGCACCACAAACTATTCAGAAGTTTAAATCAATGTTTAATCTGTTTGTATATTTTGGTTGATTACGTGAAGCTTGGCTTTGATTCACCATGCTGTATTAATCTTTCAATAATACAATTGAAAAAAAGGATTTGTCAACAGCAGATTTTGGAGGGGGGAGTGGGGGTAGAATTGGAATTGATATTCAAATCGATGTCGTCAATTTCTTAAAGAGTAACAGAATGCACAAATACGATTGGAATCAGTCTGTCCTCGGTGAATTAGTTATTGCAACCACGGCCCGACCTATGGCCATAATAATCTGAATCGACGACTTGTTCATTCAAAAGATCGTCACCAATCTTGATTTGAAGCTTTCGTGGCTGCAGGAATCCATACTCATCAGGCGGAAGAAATAACCTCTTTGCTTGCGTTGAGATCGAAACGTCGTGATCTATTATTTTTTCTACCTACGTGACTTTACCGAAAGAATCAAAGAGTATATGGATCGTCATTAGTGGACCAATGGTGCCCCACGTGAGCGCGTGACTTGGGACTTCATTCATAAATTTCCTGGCGATATGCGTTTCATTGTAGGTTGTGTTCATGTTTAGGCCCATATATGTGGAGTAGCCGTCGTTATTGATGCAGTGTTACATCGGATTGAAGGACTGACCGGTGTGTGTAAGGTTCGCGTCAGGACACTTACTGGATTGATATCAGGAATATTACATTGTTTATTAATCAGGCATTTTATATTATAAGAAAAACATTAACATGTAATTTGTTTTAAATATACCGCGTGTTTTGTTTAAGGGATCTATGTGTGAGGTTTATTGATTTTTTTATCGCCTTGCGTTTCATGTTGATATTTAGGTCCACGTGTTTTAGGTTTAATTGTGACTACAGTATATAGTAGACCGTTTCGTGTTTGACTGTGTTGCGAAATACACTGCCAGCGTTTATTGTCAGACTGAACTTGGTTATCTTAATCTGACGTTTATCGATGGCACGTCTCTTATACGGGTCAGGAAATACGATCATTACGACAGCATTGCTGCGCTCCATACAAACACATTTTGTTTAGTTTGCGTCGTTTTTAAATTCAGATCTCCCCTTGAATTGGAGACCTAATCTTAACGGGCTATCATTACCCGGTCATAAATAAAAGCGATTGTTTTTGCATTATTGTTCTGCATTTTCTGGCCATTCCCTTGTCCCGGGTACAATACTTAATTGGGGCAAGGCACAGCAATCGCTGCCCTCTACCGGGACAACTTGGCAGGGCCCTCGAGACAATGCCGTGACTCACATGCTGAGTCAATACACCTGTTTTAATAGTGGTGACAACGAATCGTGCTCCATTGAGCCGATTTGAGGCCAATTTGGCGCCCATTTGTATAGTTTGCAGGTTTTTTTTTTTAATATGTTCGTCCAGGTCTCCGTTTTTAAAACTATCAATCGTGTGTCTCGATGAATCCTGAATTCAAGGTACTCTGCTGTCAACGTTTATCTGTCCCAATGCTTTTTTTCAACCCATTCTTAAACGAGTTTCAACCCGACCATTTTGTTTTAAAGTTGAACTTCATTATTGAAAGGAATAATTGACAGGCCGTTTTTGATCCCTCTGCTGGATGAAGGCTTCCACTTGCCATGCCCGTCATGGGGGTGTTGTTCCACCATACACTTCAACCACGCTAAGTCGGCCCACAACTGTTTAGCCACCACTCGGATCACTGGGTCTACATAGCACTCGGTGCTGACCCGCTCACAGGGTTTCCCCAACCTCCATCCAGTCTTTGGCGACCCGCCGTTGAAACGCAAATGGCATTTCGTTCCACGCTGCACGCACCCGATGATCACTAAACACGTCTCATCGTTAATCGGATGCGACGATCTCCAGATCTGAGCTGTTCACAACCTCAGCATGACACCGCTCGATGTAATCTCCAGCGAAACGTTAACTAGTTTAAATACTGTGAGATGTACTCTCCTACAAACACCTGCGGCGCTGAAGCAGTGATACAAGTTCCACGTTTGATTCACGGGACACTTTTATTAATTGGCTGCGCCGGGTGGATGAGGGTTTACTACACAGCAGGTTAACACGACGGAACCGATTGCGAATCGTAATGTTGGTCGTGACAGCCTCCGTATAAAATTGGTCACATCTACGACTGCTACTACCATATTGGCATACCTGTCAACACATGCGGTTTACCCGTATTCTTGTCCAGGGAAATTTAGTTTTCAGTTCCATACGGCGTACAGCCGTTTCAATACGGGAAAAATAATGTTTTTGTGTATTTGTGTTTCTCCCTTGTGATGGAACTTTGCAGGATGAACGCATTGTAGTGTAGTGGTTAGCTCCGCTTGGATCCACCACGCCCGGCCGCCTTTGTCTCCCCAGTGGCGATGTTCACACACCACAGCAGTTACTCGTTTGAGGCTGAGTCGACCTAGGGAAGGCCCAGAAGCGGTTGAAATAATCGTCACCGGTGGTGGCCGTGAGCGGGAATCGAACTCGGGTGGCCGGGTTCGTAGCGCAGCGCGCTAACCACTACACTACCGATCCCCACACACACATACAGACACACACAGACACGCACACAGCGCGCTAACCACTACACTATAATGCGTTACGCTTCCACGTGCGCGGGTCACATGACAGATTTGACGTCACAGCTAACTTGCCGTGCAAAAAAAATATGCATTATTGAGCCCCCCCCCCCCCCCAAAAAAAAAACAGTGTATTTTTATAATGTTTGCATGGTGTACAGTCTGGAAAGTACCCACATGGCAAATTTTCAGTTTGTTGCATGTCGGGAAGTACGCTAAACATTTTGAACAGACACATTTTCACAACTTTGCCTTTTATATATATGGAGATATGGAGATGGAATGACCAAAAAGGTCTGAATTGGTCTGACATAATCTTGACTTAAAGCTTTCGTGACTGCAGGAATTCATATTCTTGGGTCTTTCGGTAAAGCCACGTAGATAGGTCACGTAGATAGGTTAAAAGAAAATAGCAAAAAATAACAACAAACTACTGTAGTTTTTTTTTGTCATTTTCTTTGAATCTATCTACGTGACTTTACCGAAAGACCCAAGAATATGGTCTGTAATAAGGTAGGGCACTGATAAGGGGTTGACAGGTATGTATGAGTCTTCAATTGCATGAAATGCATGATTAACAAACTCGCTTCACAGAGTCGAAGTAAACATTTTGAAAACGATGTACAGCGTAGCCCAGGGGTGGGCAAATTTTTTGACTCGCGGGCCACAATGGGTTCTAAAATTTGACAGAGGGGCCGGGCCAGGAACAGATGGATGGAGTGTTTGTGTGACCTAATATAAATGACATGTGAAAATCATTACATGAAAGGATTTGGCCTTTAACAGGGAGCAAAGCATTTATTTTCAAGGCAAAGTGCGCCATCTAATGGGGAAATTGGGGCATTACAGGAGAAAGGTAAAATTTAATTGAATAATAATATTTGGACAAGTTCGACGGACCGGATTAAAAAGCCCAACGGGCCGTATACGGCCCGGGGGCCGTACTTTGCCCATGTCTGGCGTAGCCTATAAGTTGCACGCTTTGGTGAAATACTGCGTTGCTTGGGCTGAATGACTGCGGTCTTGACGTGGTCAGGGGGTTACGGCTCTTGGGAGGCGCAGACTTAAGACTCGAGACACAAGCCTTCGATTGTCGTGCAAGGCAAGGGGCCTCGCTGGCGGCCCGATTGCCATCATTCATTGTTTTGCTCAAAAAAGCGAGTACTGTTCAAACCCAGTCATAGATGTGTTCATAGATCCAGTCAAAGGTGTGTTTTAGTAATTTCTGGTTGAAATTAAAATCAATTCCATTTATAACTTACTAATCCTCCGCCATTCCCAAGTCAAGGGTCGTATATAATGACCCAGTAGAATATCTTGAAAACTAGAGCCAATCAACAATTGTAAGCATAATTACACGCTTTCATTTAACTCACTCTGTTGTAATTCAATTTTAACCCACTTCCCAATGTGGTATTGATTGCAAACTTGGTATACTTATGTCATACTGATGATAATACTATATTCTATCATAAAAAATATATATCTATTTTTAAACATTATTTTTTATATGTTATGTTTCGGCTTGGGTCTAATTGTCCGCGCTCAACTGACGTTGCCTGTAATTGGCCACGGTCCCCTTACGTTGTGGCAAGCTTCAGGGCCATTTCATGGAGTCGTGGAGTTCTTCCATTTCTAGTACATTTCATAAAAGCGTGTTTAAAAAAGATACTTATTTTCATTCTCAGTGACCCAGAATGAGTAAAGTTTGGAGACCACGTTTATTTCGGAAGCATTTTGGCTGTAGACCAGTGAATTAATTGGTGGGGGGGGGGGGCGATGGGCGTGCGGCAGTGCATGCGAGCTGTTTGTGATCGCCGGGAAGGAGAGGGGAGAAGCCATCCCAACCCAGCCAGCCGAGGTTCCTCCTCTTCTTGTCCGTGACCAATGACCTCTTTGACGCAACGGCTTACCAAGCCTGCTGCCGCAAGCCGCATGCCACACGCGTGGCACGTGCGGACGCGTCATGCCACCCGAGCGTGGCAAGTTAATGGATTGGTGTAAACACAAATAGAAGATAAAATAAAATATGCTTCCGACCGTCAAACGCATCGTTTTGTGAGTTGAGCAATATTACTGAAGGATCCTTGTACTCGTTCCCTATAGTAGGGTAACTGGTTAAACGACATAATCCGCTTAATTAATCGCACAATTAAAACACATTCCTGCGGAGGGAGCTGGTAGGAACGTTGGGTTGCTCGGTCAATGGCCAGGCTCAACGGCGGCACCACGTGGTGTATTCCGCAAATATGCCCGACTGTGAGGGCGGGCACAAGCCGGCGTGAGTAGGTTAAACGTTGAGTTTTATAAGGGCACCACGGGGTGACCAGCCCCTCCCCACCCAGCCCCACCCCTCCCACGCCCCACCCAGCCCCTCCCCAGCCCCTCCCCACCCTCCCCTCCCCACCCTCCCCTCTCCACCCAGCCCCACTCCTCCCATTTTATCCGGGTGTCCGGATACACGTGGACAGACATCCACAGACATACACAATTAATCCCCTGCCTCCTGTGAATGAATCCCGGTTGGGCTTCCAGTCCACTACGTTTCCTACTACCAGTATAAACTCAAACGTACGTGGGGCAATTAGTTTTGTTCAGTTTATACAGGCCGCGGTGGTGTACGTGGAGTTACCCGTTGGGGAACCTTTTTTTCTGCCAAGGGACATTTTGATATTTACATAACATCATTCGCGGGCCATACAAAATCATCAACTTAAAAATGAGCCCGTCATAGTTGCTCAAACGTTTAATGAAGTCGCCCTCTAATGGCGACGGCTGGAACTGCTTCTCTTTGGTGAGGCGTGCGATGATGTTAGCCGGTATTGACGATGCTGTTGCCACTCGCAAACTGCTTTTCCAGGTCTGCTCCTGGATTTATTGAATTTCGAGTCCCCGCCTGCGGTTGCTTTGGCAGGGCCAGAGACCCAAATAATTTCGCGGTCCTCCCACGGCCAGCTGGCCTGACATTCCTCACCCCTGCATGCGGCCGTGCCTTCAAATAAAATGCACCACCACCACCCCCCTCCTCCTCCTCCTTTCATTCCCTTGAGAGGAGTGGCTGGGGTTGGGCTTTGAGAGCGTGAACCTCCTCCTCCTCCCCCCGCAGAGTGATTGCTTCTTCATCTCAGGATTTCATCATCCTCAAGACGAACTTGGAAGGGTTGGCAAAGGCTCTCTCTCTCTCGCACGCGCGCGATACGGACGAACGCACGTGGTGGGGTAAGGCGGCACATTTTTATTTATTTAACAAAAATGTTTTAACGTAACCCCCCTTTCTTTATTTTTTTTTTATCAGCGCCTGCGTCCTAATATGTTCGTTCAAGTTAAAGGCGCGGTCGTGTTTGCACGCCATTTGGTTCAAGCATGCCTGACTGCTGATGAGACACTGGACGTCGAAGCCACTCGAGAGTTTGTTTGTATTTTGCTTTTTCGGGTCAATGCTGCTGTTGTTCCGCACTCCTAACAAGTCCGTGAGATGCCTTTGCGTTGTGCACATCAGGGATTATTGTTTTGCTTGCAGAGACAGATATATGAAGGCGACTTTCTTTTTTGAAACTACAATACAACGGGATAAATGCTTTATTTCATAGATGTGTACGAGTTAATGAGAATTCGTGATATTGCATTCAAATGGTGTATTGTGTATATACAGTATTTCTGGGGAGAGAGAGGGGGTGTCTATTGTGGGTTGTGTCATCGCTACACCATGTCAGTTCAAAGTATTTTTAGTCATGGGCCAGAGAAGCCAAGACCTAATATTGACTTCAGTGGTGTTGAGAAGATGATAGGGGGGGGGGGGCGGGGGGGTAGGGGGGGGTAGCCCCCCCCCCCGATGGGCCCCCCCCTCCACCCACATTTGCCTCCACTCCCTATCAAGCCTGCAGCCCCAGTGTGAACGCTGTCACGATTTGCTGTGTTGCATAGCCAATGTTTACTTATTAAAGGCAAGTTGATCTCAACAGGACCAACGACTGGGAAGGGAGACAATACTGCTCTGGGCTCCAACTAGAAGACAACCGGAACAGATACTTTGCAGCGTTTGGATTCCCCTGTCATCTTGAAACGCCAAGGGATATGTTCGTTCAGTTCGTCGTTTTAAACGTCTGCAAGTATGGCAGGGCACCAGCAAAGAAATTGCTGCTGAAAGTGGAAAAGGGCAAGGTAGCACGAAATAGTTTTCCACTGCGCTTACATTTCACCTCATCGAGGACGGTTTTGTGGGACAATTTTGGTGCCTGGAACATTGGGGACGAGGTCATTCTTCCTTCTGCTGAAACCATGGCTGGAAAGGTACATCAATGCAGTGAAGCAGTTTAAATTGTGAGATGTATGCATATATAGTGCTCTGTCAATATTTTAAAATAATGTTTGTTTGCATGGTTCAGTGCCTTTGAATGCTGTTATTTGATGCAATTTTAAAAAAGCATATTAGGCTATATAATGCAAAATGTATGATTTATTAATCATTATGGTTGCTGTATTAAAATGGACGCTGTGTAAATTGCTAAATTTGTTGTGAAACGAAACGGTGATCTTGGACCTTATGAAGCTGATTCGCTTACAAACAAGTGGAACCCAATGGGGAAGCGCAATTAAGGGCATGTGTCTGCTGGCTGTGGCTTTTTTGCAGTCAAGGTACCGACCACATTTGAGAAACGTGGGTTGCACAAGCCAGACAGGCGTACGATCGACCAACGAGGACCGTTATGCCTTGTCAGAGGTCTCCAACAATGTGCTCTGCTTGGCTGTGTTTGATGGACACGGAGGCCCCGCAGCTGCCAATTTCTGCAGCAAATATATGGCCAAACACCTCCGGTGAGTACTATTCTCTCTCCACAGGCATATACATGGGGGTTTTGTACCTACCATGAGGCTTGCAGAACCCACGTCCTTATTTATAGAGTTCGCTGGTTGGCAGCATCAGAGCTATTCATGGTAAGGTCATTTTGCACGAGGTATCCCAAGCTGCTGATCAATGTAATCCCTGTGCCATTAATAGGGGCACAGAAGATAGGTTTTCAAATGCACAACGTTGTATTGCACATTTGTTAAATATGTGTATCTGCTGGACATTACTCAAGCAATTAAACATGGAGTGAGAGGGTGTTTAATGATTCCATATTGTCACATGATGGCGTACATCAAAGTGCCAATGGTGCCACCATGTGGAATTAACCAGAACCTATCTAACATGTTATATATTCACGAAATAAATAAAGCATGGTATTACAGATATGAACTGCACTGCAATAATTGAGTAACCATTGACATTACAAGTAATTCACTTAGCAAGCATGAAGCTATTGTAGAGTGTATGTTTAATTACAAGTGTATGTCATAGCAGAGCGTGCTGCGCTATGAGCCGAGTTCGAGTCCTGCTCATGGCCAACACCAGTGACAACTATCTGAACTGGTTCTGGGGCTTCCCCTAGGTTGATTCAGCCTCAAATGAATACCTGGTGCGGTGTGTAAACATCGCCACTGGGGAGACAAAGACGGCCTAGCGTGGTGCTGACTACCACCTTTGTCCCATGCTGACCTTCATAGGTGCTCCCCAACAGCACTTGTCCCTACAGTCTATTAAGGCAATACGGAGGATATTTGTCTTTGTACTGCACATATAATGTACGTGTGTTTAAACATGTATGTTTTCAATTAAATGTGGCATCCTGCTCCCCATTCCCCCCCCCCATTCCCCCCCCCCCCATTCCCCCCCCCCCCCAAGGAAGTACCTTCAGAAAGAGGAAAACTTGGAGCTGGTTTTGTCTAAGTCCTTCCTGGCGGTTGACCGGGAGTTTACAAGACGTGTGACTCTCTCCCAGGAAGGTAGGGGTATTGTAGCACGCTGACTTATTGTGGCACGTGTGCCATCGTTAAACTAATTAACTTGTGCTTCATTAGATCGTAATAAACCTTTACAATGTTTATTTCACACCTGGAATTAAGTAAACAACTCGGAATGTGGTGTGTGTAGCAAAAAAAAACTATCTTGTATAAAGCATTAATTTCATAATTGTTTTGTGAACTTTGTAAACATACAGATACCATGCCATGTTTAAAAACCTTTATCTTCAAGTAAACTGAATTTACAGATGCAAATACACTAAGGAAAATATATTCTTGGTTCTTTCAGTAAAGTCACGTCGAAGGGAAATAATACAAATAAAAAATAAAATTCTCACGACGTTTTCTTAAGAAATAAACGCCACTTTTTTCAAAAAATTATTGCTGTGGTTTTCACACCTGATGATGTGTGTTGCAATCGAAACGTCGTGAGAATAAAATTTTATTATTTCCCTTCTACGTGACTTTACCGAAAGAACCAAGAATATGAATCACTGCAGTCACGAAAGCTTTAAATCGAAGTTTAAGGAAAATATATTCAAGTAGTGTTGTATTGCTCAATTTGTGCATGGCATAACTGGATGGTGTTATGTCCTTTGTGTGTGATTTGAGCCATATCAAAAATACCTGAACAGAAAAAAAATCCAAGCAAAATCATAGAGTTATCTTTATTTAAACCAGGTGCAATCCCATTGCAATGTTAGTATATTTAACGAAGTTAAATCTTAGCTATGTATGTGGGATACATTAATTGAAGCATTTAATGAATTCGAATTTATCTTACGAACAGAGTTTTACGTATATTGACAATGCAATGGCATTCGTCTGTGTGCTTAATGCATAGGCATATATATGGAGAGAAAAATAACTTGAATTTGAGGTCACAAAAAATATTATTTTAAAATAATTTATTTCAAAAGGGAAAAAAATGCCTTTGAATAAAACTAATTTTATTTCTAATCACTCTCAGCTACAAAAACGTCTAAACCGTTGCATTCAAGCATGTTTTGAATTTACAAAATACAAGCAATGCTTTGTGTTCTTCACTCTACTTCAATGTTGTGACAAAACTAACATTAACAAAGATGAATGTCTGAACACATTTATTTTGCTTGAGCACTGGAGTGTGAACTGCTCGCATAATACTTGACGTTAGCTATTTACAAATTTGCTTGGTGTTGAACTGGGATCATGAGCAAAAAGATTTGCTCATAAGCAACATCAACAATATCTTGCAAATGATACGATGCAGTATTTAATGCCAGTTTCAAATACATTAACATTCATTGCATTTAATCAAATCTCTCAACAGCAGTTTATTGCCATAAAAAAGGCACATTTGTGTTTCCCAGACCCCAGATGTGTTTAACCTAAAGCAAATGTGACTAATTAAGGTGAAACCGTTATGAAGGGTTAATTTATATGTACGTCTTCCACATTGTGATTTACGCAAATACATGGGTTCCTTGTGCCCTATCATTCCAATTAGATGACTCATTCATGTGGATGGCTCGCAGAACCTAGCATAGCAATTTAGTGTTAATGCATAGTGTAATTGTGAACATTTTCTATGGCTGTGTGTGTGTGTGCGTGCCTACAACATGCTTCCCATTTGCTCACTGCAGAGTGGCTCTGAGAAGCAGCCTCAGTCCTGATTCGAGGTTTCCTGGACCTCTGGTAACAGACAATTTGGGTTGTCTCCTCATATTTCCATTTTCCTAAAAAAAATTAACGTACCATTGTCTGTACATGAATTCATCCTTGCTTTGTAATATTTTGCCCGGTGGAACTAATGCTGATCAGTTTTTTTTCCACTTAATTTTGTTAAAATAATCTCTACAGTACACTATACTTTTAAAATATTGTGATTAATAACGTATAAAACCTAGATACACGATGCAATAGTGAACCGATCCTATCAAGGGTTATTGATTACATCAAGATAAAATGTTTCAATGTTGTGCCAAATTGAGTGGGAGTTATAATCTTTCTAATTTGGTTCAATAGCAATATGACATTTATCTAATCGGTAAGTTAGAAACACATGACCACATAGATAGTCTTACTAGAAAGACAGGGCAGCGACACAGTGAACACGGAGCCACGGACCAACAACCCCTGCAACCACAGAAAGGGTAGCTCACGCCTATATGACTACCACAGTTATATGACTACCGCAACAAATATATGAATACCACTGAAACTACGACGAACACAACCACATAATGATGTGGGATGCTTTAATTTTGATGGTAAAAATATACAGACCTATTTATATTTAAAGAGATCCACAGTGAGCGCTAGGTAGTATTATTGCCCTTGATTGCATAGTATTGCATAGTATTTTACCTTGGATAATTTCTTCAATGGAGTGCAATCTGGTGCAGTCTGATGGAACCCACATTGCATCGTGTATCTAGGCCTTCATAATATTTTTTTCCAGAAAATACAACCTTTAATGTTTATTGTTTCATATAATTTGAATCTGGGTTTTTTTTGTCTCTCAAACGTTGAAAGGAATTCACTAATGTATGAACTTTATACTATATACAGTTAATTTCTTCAACCTGTACTTACATTTTCCTCCAACATTTATTTTTAAAAATGGCATCCATAAATGCGTGCCAGTGAGCAACGACTCGGTCTATAAACAATTTTATTTATTTATTATAACACGTTGAGCTTGTTGGAGTGAAATGATAACGAATGCCACTGTGTGTTGGGAAGCATGTGGCTTGTGTGCCTGTCCTTGCAACCCCTGTCCTTTGCGCAGTCTCTGTCGGCTCAAGCAGTGCTGTCGCGGTCGGATGCCCTGTGGGCTGTGTGCCACGGGGCAGCTTGGCAGCTCCCCTCGAAGATCTTTGCTCTCACATTGGGCCCTGAGCTGGGCTTAGTAAGCACTGCCGGAAGGCATCGCTACCGGGGGTCCATTTAAAAAGGACATACTGCTGCCCTGTGAATATTGTGGCTGTTATTCCACTCTTTTCTCCGCCCTCGTAGTTCCCTGTAGTTATTCCCATGGAGCAGTCCTGAATGTAGTCACTCGTGGCTTAGTGCAGACAAATCAGTATGGCCTGTTAACTGAACCCCTGCCCAAGTATGAATCAAACCTGGAAGACAAACGTAGTGTGCAAACAATTGATTGCAGTTCGTAACACAATTTTATCTTGTATCCATCATTCTGCAATAATATTTCTTCTCTATATGGGGTATAACAGCGGTGTTTGTAAAACGTACTAAATTATATTTAGATGTCATGTATAATCGCCTAATCCTTGCTAATAAACAATTCTATCACGTGAAACAAACACTGCACCTCAGTGCATACATGCGCCCTTCAAAAAAATTGTCTTGGCATACATATCGACAAAATGACAACCACGTTTATAAATGTTAAAAGTGCAATGCTGTATGACTTGATGAATAGGAGTGTCCAAACACGAAGTCAGGACGCACTTGAGACCTTCAGGCCTGTGGTTGCTATTCCTCCTGGTCCACACGTGGGCCCGCAGGAATGCGATGGCAGCCGTTGACTTCGCTTTGCTCTGTGTCCTTTAGCGGAGCTGCTGAGGAGCGGATCGACGGCCACTGTGGCATTGCTGCGTGACGGCCAGGAGCTGGCAGTGGGCAGCGTGGGTGACAGCCGCGCCGTACTGTGCCGTCGCGGCAAAGCCATGGGGCTGACGAAGGATCACACTGCCCAGCGCAAGGACGAGAGGACTCGGTGGGGGCTGCCCACCCAACGCTCGTCACTGCTACCGTTAATTTAATTGTGCCGTGCCGGGTTGGAACCCGATTCGCATTGGGGTGGTTGTCAGTTCAAATGCTGGTCAAGCTTTGGCTTGGCTCATCATGCTTTTTGGGGGTTGCTATTTTTAGCGCTATTTTGTCGTCGGCCAAGAGTGGGTTTCCTATGGAGAGAGTGGCTTCTTTAGAAATGTCACGTTTCCTCCAATGATCCAGGACTGCTCATAAACATAAGCAATGACATTATTTGTTTGAATATACACTGTGTTGTGGAATGATAATTTATGACCTAAGTCTTTGTATGTGTGTTGAACTTCTTTTGTAGCGTACGCAGCCAAAAATGCTAATCGGAGGTGCGGGGGAAAGACAAAAAACGAAACACAAGCATAAGTTCTTTGGCTATATATTTTTCCCTTGTTATTTAATGTACGTATTTCTTATATATCCTTGTAACCCTTGCAAGGAGCTCCTTAATCCACCTTTCAGTCCCCTTGTGGTGGGCTGTAATGAATCTGGATATTCATTGCTGTGTTGCAACTGAGAGCTCAGTGAGCCCGATTTGTAACTTTTTATATTCCTTCTTAAAAGCCCTCTGTTGAAGCACATCGTAAACATGTGTTTTGCTTGCAGAGTTAAGGCGTGTGGAGGGTTCGTGACCTGGAGCACCACTGGCCACTCTCGCATCAACGGCACGCTGGCCATGACACGCAGCATCGGAGACATTGCTCTCAAGCCCTACGGAGTCATTGCCGATCCTGAGATACAGCAACTGCAGGTACATTGAAAATGTGCATAAAATAAGCCAATATTATGAATACAATTCCAAAGTGATGGTGTCTTAAATAAGATAATTATAATCTATTTTCTTATATATTATTTTAACCCTTGCAGTAAATCCTTAATACACCTTTGAATAACCTGTTGGTGGGCTGGAATGTGGATATCCATATTGAAATCCATTTAGGGAGCATGGAAGTACAGATTGTTTCCACTGATGTGAGAGAAAGCTTTTTAAAAGTGGTCAAACTGAATAGCACTGGATTGTTTAGGTTCAAGCATTTATGTACCTTAAATTTTAGTATCTCATTTCCATTAAATGATGTAGTTACATGTGTTGATAAAATGAATAGTCCGTTTATGTTGTCATTAGGAGGTTAGGGAGTTTACTTGTCATTGCAGCTGAACCATGAAGATGACAGCTTCCTGGTCCTCACCACTGACGGCATCAACTTTATCATGAACAACCAAGAAGTGTGTGATGCAGTGAGCAGTTCGCACACTCCTGGAGAGGCTGCCCACCTCATCACCGATTCAGTATGTGCAGGACACAATTACAGTGGATATTAGTAGCTTGTTTCTCACCTATGAAAATTTTTATTTTTGCCCAACATCGGATGGAACTGCTGCTTTCTCTCATTGTGACTGTCAAAATGGGCACTACACACTCTCTTTTAGCAATTATACCCCTGACCATTGTTTTATTACATTGCTTTATTTGTGGTTGAGTGGCTGAGGCATTTCCCAATAAGCGATATCATGTTATGCCCCGGATTATATTTATGTAAATAGTTACAGCGCGTATCTGCTGCAAAAAACTGAGTACAGTATAGCCTGGAGTTTGTAATTCAGCAGCAGATTGCAACAGCACCATCTATTGCCATTGGAGAGGTGATGCAGTTCCAAAAATACACATCCAGTAATTATTTAAAGAAGCAGCCGCAATTCTTTCCACACGTACAGCAGTGCGACGGTAACTTTCACCATTGTTCCCCTTTTGAACTTGCACTTCAAAGCACCCCCTCTGTTAAAATGAAAAGTACTACTTGTATAATTTCCGTTCATCATTTTTCAAATGCAGAGCTCACATCTCTAATAGCAAATTTCATGTAAAAATGTGCACAGTATATCTTCAACCTTGAAAACCTGTTGGTCTTGACTGCGGGGTGGCGTTAAACTTGCCTTCTCTCCCCTTTCTCTATTTAGTTGTTTTTCTCTCTCCCATGTTTACAACTCCTTTCCCGGTTTTCCCCCATTCCTTGTTATTGTGGTTGTTCCGATGGCCTGGGGTTGGGAGTGTATTTGCATATGGCTCCAATGTCGATAGTGGGGTGCATGTAACGTAGTTGTTTAATATTTGCAGGGTGTGCATATTGTTTTTTGATGCCCTTGGATGTAAATAAAATAAAACGTTGTTAGCCTTTTATAAAAAACGCAAGGCACGCCTTGTAGAGACTATTGGACTGTGCACATGGTGATACTGGACTTGTCCTTCACATACCTAGTAGTAAAATACAGCTTCCCTTTGAACATGGCTTTGTTGATGTTGGCAGTTCTTAAAGAGATGCATTCCGTTTGCAGGCACTGCAGTACGGCTCCGACGACAACGCCACGGCTGTGGTTATCTCATTGGGCGCATGGAGGAAATTCATCAAGGTTCAGACACATGCCACGTTCCTCCCTAGAGTTGTCTCTGGTGGGCGCTGGGCATGAAAACAAGAGGCCCACGCTGGTTAGCACCATTACGAGCGAAACCAAATCCACATCAAGGTGAATTTTCCTGTAAAAATACGTGCTTTATAAACTATATTTGGAAAATAGAGCAAAATTAACTATGATATAGCACGAACACATGCTATCTCATAGTTATGTTTTCCCAAGTACAATCAACAGATTAACCAAAATGTAGTCTATTCTGGGTTTCTGTATGATTTGGCACTTTGAGCAGTGCTTGCTTGATCGGACTTTGGACAGTTTCAGGAAGATATTCATCGAACCGTTGGCTTACGGACTTCGCCATACCTTGGTACTCTGCCTTATAAAACTGCATTACTGAACATCTATGAAAAAATATATTCATAGCTCATCGGATTTCACCAGAATAAATACAGATTCTGTATTATCTAGATTGTAACCATAAGCTTACGAAGCAGAATACAAGATTAACAAATAAGACCGTTGGATAGTTTTAGTTTTTCCATGGTAAAGGTTGCTATTTAAACGTTACCTTTAACAAGTTTCACTTATTGTGGTACATTACGTTTTTTCAAAGGTCCACTTTGCATTTACTTAACACCTTGGTGCAACTAGTTTTAAATATAGCATTTGTAAATAATTATAACTCTCTCGGATATGCATTTGGGTGGTGTGATAAGATTTCGTAGTTTTGCTTTGTTAAATGTTAATGCAGTGGAAGAGTTGTTTAGCGCACTGCACCATGCACTCGGGACACCTGAGTTTGATACCTGACCATGGTTAACACCAATGGCAAGTGATAACCGATTCAGTTATGGACTCCAATCCCCCCAACAAAACTTGAGAATCTTGACCGACACGAGACTTCATCCAGGAGTGACTTGACAATCAACTATTTAGTGTTAAGAAAATAATACACACGTACAGGTATGTCTATATACTTATCTGCAGTATCATTTACCAGTTCACCTGGTATCTGCTTTAGTCTGTGTACATTGGTTAAGAGGTGTTGCATTGTACATGATGTTCAGCAGCATTGTTGGTCTGAATTTTTATTTTGAATACTGTATATTGTACAATAAACATTTTTACAACTTGTCCCGATATTGTCAATAATTCTGTTTGGCAGGTACTGGTTAATCGTCAGACAAATCTGAATAGCTGAAAATGAAGACCGTTTAATTTAAACTATTGTATCATGGCATCACATTGCTATTCAGTTTAAGTGCACTGATTAAAGCATCAAGCCACTTGCTATTTTAACACAGACATGGATATTCTTTGACATTCGAGGAATTGTTCTTAGAATCACCATGGTGATATCACCGTCACTTCGTGGTGAATGGCGGGTATTCGCATGTCTTTGCACGTGTGTGTGTGTTAACATGATTGAGTGAAGTGTGGAAGGCCAGCTGGCCTTCCACATTCTTGTGGGCTCAATGTGCACCTTGTCTGGCACAACCCCCATGGTGTCACCCACTTAGTGGTGAATAGCTCCTGTTGTATGCCAGAGATGTGCTTCAGTAGGGTGGTTGTCCGCAGCTCAATTGAAATTAATGGGATTAGAATTAGAATCCCATTAATTTCAATTGAGCTGCGGACAATTGAAAAAAAATTGGCTATCTTTAAAATTTCCCCATGACAATAGTGGCTATCCCACAGTTCCAACGATCCCATTCAGAAGTATTTGATTTCTCATCTCGATTCACAAGTCTCAGCTTGGTATTGTAATAGAACAGCAGTAGCAGCAACTGGCACCTCCACTTCAGACCACCCCACAAGATGCTCATTACATCAACAGTGTGGTTTGCCCGATTTACCGTCAAGGGAAAGTGCATGGAGTAACTTGCTCAATGTCACATTTCCCACGACGCATAAAGCATTTTTCTTCTTCCCACGTTGAGATGTGGCTTCAAATTGAGATGCTTTAAAATCTAACATCTTATTAAAACATCAAGCATAAGGAAACTACAATTGGTTAAATGTTTATTGAATGAATACTTATCAGGTATTTTGATGCACAGTATGGCTTAAATCACAACCCAGTGCTAACTTTCAAAAGAGTAACCTCAACTTGTGATATCAAATTGCGCTGTTGTAAGATGTTATGTTACCACCACTCCATTATTGGTATCACAAGGGCTGTGATTATCCCTTCAAGTTAGGGAGACAATGTAACTTCGAAACTAAGTGTACATATGTATCAAAACTATTTTCATGAACCCGTGAATTAAGAAAAATCTTTCAAAATTACATATCAGTCTAACCCTGCCATGTATTTTAGTGATATGGCGCTTGAATTAAATGCGATCCCTTGAGAACACTGGCATAACTCACAGGAAACCTAAACAATATACATTCAGGCCTCGTAAGGAAAAAAAAAGTACACTTGGCTCAGACCACAAGGTTGCACATAAAACAACCGAACAGTTTCAGCGATCACAGCATGCGGAAAACTGAAAATGCACAAACAACGTTAACGGCAAACACCACCCAGTGCATCAACAGCAGACACTTGCTACTGTACGAGATCGGTGTGCAACGGGAGAAATATAAAGCTCACAATAACGTATGGAGCGCTGGCTCCTATTGCTAAAGACAGTTACCATCAGTGGCTTGCTCATGACTGCCTTGCAATACCGCATGCAGTCTTGCCAGTGATGGCACTTCCCATGCAGTGAAATTATCACTGCTCTTGGCCCACATGGCTCGAAATCCTACAAAGTCTCCATATAGAGCCTAATTTGGAGTAGCTACAATAGCAACACACATTTTATTTTTTAAATAATAGAGACAATGGCTTGTACATTCCACAATATCCATTAGACCCTGAAGTGTGCAATTAAACGTTCAAATGAAATACAAATTGACCCCACCAGTTAGTTTTTAATGCCCAACTACGCTATGTTTACTGATAAATTGCAAGGTAAAAGTGCATCCCTTCAAAAGATTGCTCACGACACGATAGGCAGCAGGACCTCCACTAGAGGATATTTGGCCTACTCTTCCACACTGGCCATATATTTTGGAAGAAGTGTAAGTACCTGCACTTTTCCCTACCACGAACGAAAAGCCGATCGATTAGCTATGGCGTTCCCATTATATACCACTGGGTGGACAGAGGCGGAATGACTTCAGAAACTTGCGAATCGTTTCAAACTGCCATGCCAGGAAGTCGAATCGGTGACTTCTGGATTGCAAGTCCAGTGTGCTCACCATCGCGTAATAGAAATACACCCACACAATTATATTTCAGCAGTATTAAACATGTTTCATGTTGGGTTGCAATAACTTTTATATGTTTTATATAATTACCCAATGAAAATAATGAACTACAACACAACTTTTCTTCATAATTTCCAAAGTAATTTTTTTCAACCTATTTTACAACCAATTATTGAAAAAGGCACAAACACAGGTTGATAGAAAAATCTAAAATCAGGCGGTCATTATTTTTTTACCTCCTGTGATGCACACTGCTTTGTCAAATGGGCTGTGCGGGTGTAAGGCAATTCCAATTACAAACTTAACAGAATTGTTGACAAGTAGCTGTAATCTGACATTTCTATAGCAGTGTCAGCGGTTCTAATTTCAACAATGCAGTATGCTTTAATTCCAAATCCACATTATATTAGTGTTATGTTAACACTTGCATCTCAGGATATGAAATCTCAAGGTCACGACAAAATATTTGCAGTGACGCTAAACCATGAACCTGCAAAAGGATATTAACATTCGATTAAACCAAATAATATTCTGTATTTGCATGTTATATTCTATTTACACAATTACCTTGCATTTGTTCTAAATTCTACATAAAAGTGCATGATACACTTCTTGAACGAGTGGACATTTTCTTACAATGCCACAATTCCTTTAGCAAGGACAATAACAATTATGAATATTGGTATTTTACATACGAGTATAAATTCTGTAAAATAAATGCAGACCCTTTTGTTAAGGCACTACTGGTATAATGCCTCCCAAGCCCTCGTTGGTCATGAGAATTGTGACCACACTTAACCACGCTGGTCAGTTCAGGTTGGTGGCAGGGCACCCAGGACCGGTTGAGATATCATTCCCTACGGACGTCTGCTGTGGCCAGAAATCGAACGCTTCTCGTCAGATACCGAGCACAGGGCGCAAACCGCTACAATGCTCAACCCAATTTCACATATAAAAAGGTTGCTATAAATAGTAATAGCACATTTCACATTAAGTTTGTTCCCCATTTGTGGCACTACTGGTTTTTATCGATTTGTTCAAATCACCTGAAAAAATCAGGGCACAGATAAACACATTCATCAGTACTGTATTTGGCAATTTTCATCTCAATCGAGTAGGGGGGGAGGCAACCCCTCCAGCAATTAAAAATGATAGGAGTTAGTAAGTAAGGACTTGTCCCCTGCTTTTTATTCGACGCATGTGCGGCGATGGCACAGCCATCGATCGAGGGTCGAATTCGACCCGTGGGTGATCGGTATCGCGCTCGCTGAATGCCTTCAGGGAAGTCGTGTCGTATATACGCAACTGCGTCACTTATAACCGCTTCGCCGTGACTTATTGCCAATTATGGACTCGGACTATTTTCCCATCATCTCTATAGAGTCCCTGGCACATACTAATATGCTGCACAGTGGCAGTGGGGGTCGCAAAATGCCGATTTATTACTAATAAACTCCAATGATCCGATCGAATTTAGGGATTTCGATCGGATCATTGGGGAGGCACGTGCCACCACACCCCCCACTGGCTCCGCCAGTGGTTCAAGACAACATGGCAAGTTCATACTTTGGTGTCAAGGAGCCAGAGATTCAAGACATAGAAAGGTTGCCACACAAATTATTTTAAATATATACAAATAACAAAAGATGGATAAGCTGGTAGGCTACTCTGTTTCGTCAATAGGGAAACTAAAAAGTCCAAGTCTGTTGCGTCCGAGTTGTGATGAAATCAAGATAAATGCTGCGGTGAGACAAATGGTTTGCCACCTCATCTGATTGTCTTAATGACATAGATGTTTCATATAAATGAGCCATATACAATATCACAATATAATATATGAACTATATTACAACAACAAAAAAGGCATTTTAACACTGGTTTGAAAACGCAATGGCTATGTTCTTGTAAGACATAGGGTATATATCTGTAGCCGAGGAATAACAGCCGATTCAAATATACCAAGACCCATGACGGCTGGACATAAAAAGGTACATCAAAGTTCCTGTTTTTTTCTGCCAAGGAGAGTTTATGTCAGTTTCCTCATGAAGCGCAGCTTCAGGTAGGTGATGGCGAGAAAGATGATGGTCATGCAGCCCAGCGCCACAAGGTTCTCCCACAGGGCCCAGTCATTTGTGCCGATTCCTTGCCGGCAAAGGTAATCCTCACCGGTACAGCTGTAATAGAGAGAGTGACATAAATGAATTAAACCCCTCATGCAGACAGTCAGCAAACAGGCAGAGCTACCTGCTTGTTATTATGGAATATCTAATAAATGCTATTATCATGGAAGAAAAATCATATATATGCATGGATTATCTAATGCTTTCCAATATGCGTTTTAACCTCGGATGTATTTAATTTGCGATATCAATGCCGTCAAATGAAATTACGTCATCAAAATGGAGGCATGCACATGACGTGTGATGTCATCATATTGACAGATAACGGATACCCATTAAACGCTGGTTTTTATCTCCAAGTTTTGGATAGCCCTTTGACAAATGTACCCCGTTTGCTGTAGGGTAAGCCCCAAATAACATTACAACTTTATACTAAAACATTGTTTACGCTGCACCATTTTTACGAGTTACGACTCCCCCTGCTAAAGAGAGACGAACAGACTTAATGCGAGAACATTTTCAGTGCGCTAACCAATGCGCCACCGCTCCACCCTGTAAACCAGGGGTGGGGAACGTCTGGCCCGCAGGCCGTATGAGGCCCGCGAAATCATTTGGTCTGGCCCTGCCAAGGCAACCGCACGACTCGAAATTCAATAAATCTAGGCGCTTTTTTCACCGCAACATAAATGTAATTTTGTATCGCCCGCGAATGATGTTAGAAATATCCAAATGGCCCTTGGCAGAAAAAAGATTCCCCACCCCTGCTGTAGACGATCAACATCTCTATCGAAATTATTTATTTCAAAATGTAAAAAAAATAGGTCAGTTTTTCAATTGTCTAAGAATATGATGTAGAAGTAGACAACATAGTATAACAATATGTAAGGTCTAATTACGACAGCATGTACACGTAAAATGGTCGACAAATTAATGGAAAACAGCAGTTCCGTTTTCAGCCTCAGCAGGAGCAGCAGCAAGGCCTTACATGGCTCCAGTGCTTGCAGACGTGGAGTTACAAGTGAAGGAGGCGGACGTGTGGTTACTACCACAAAACATCAGGCCCCGAAACTCGTTCACTTGCAGTCCCTGCAGGCCACAATGAATACATTTTAAAATACATTTCAAGAGATAGTGGGCTATCATTTACAGTGAAGTGATATTTCCTCTCAAAATTATCATGTAAATTACAAACACAAATTCTCTTCGTTTTTTGGTGGCTCAAAGAACATAGAACCCCAGTAGTTTTGCCCGTTCTCCTTCCTCTCGTCAGGCCTGCATACAGAACAAAACCTTTCTAAACTGCAGTGTATCACAGTTATTTTCTTGAGACTGCCTTTACATTTAATCTTTCCAAAAGTGGTCTTTCAATTAAGTACACGGCTTTTCACTTTTGCACTTTAGAGTTTAAATTCCATTTATTTCCTGGTTCTCGTAAAAGAAAGCTACAGAGTAGTGCATGCTGGGATAAATCAGTTTGTAATAGATACTGGCTGCAGCCAAAGCTCTACTCTCTGGAATGTCATCAGAGTTTAAGATCATAGCATAATAACAGTCACTGGCATGATTAGTCATGTTATAACTAGGGCCCCATGCAGTAAGTGACTTGTTAAATAGCCTCAGTTTTACAACATGGATCATTTTATTCATTATAAACATGGTTAAATCTTGACTTAAAGCTTTCGTGACTGCAGGTTATTTTTTGACATTTTCTTTGAACCCATCAACGTGAATTTACCGAAAGACCCAAATAATATAAACATGGTTTTATAAAAAACACGAAAATTTTTACATTGCAAGACAACATAAAGTGACTTTACATATGGCAGTTCTTGCTCTATGGGCTTGAGAGTATTTAAAACAATGGACTTTAAAAATTGCAATGCATTGAAATTAAGTCCGGCTTGAGACAAAATTGAGGGCCGCACACACTTACCGTGAGTCCATATCTAGGGATGCTGAAGTACTTTAGCCAGTTGAGCCAGCCCATGACGCTTGGCAAGTTCACCAGCAGACCTGAGAAAATCTAACCAAAAAGAGCAACACATCTCAGTTCACCATGAAGCAACAGGTTTACTTGTGGCATTGACGGATTTTCTAAAGACTATAATTGTGTATGATCTATAGTTTTTCATATAAAGGTGGCACAATGGTAGAATTCCACCAATGCAAAACAGCATGAAGACACTGTAACTTGTATGATCGATAGAAGTAGCAACAGTAGTAGGAAAGTTAATGAATGCTCAAGGACGGCCGAGCCTAACAAATCAATATGCACACTCATAAAACGTTACTTAGAAACAAGACCATAAAATAACATGTGGATAGTTCGCTTACAATCATGAAGACAAAGCAGATGGTGATGAGGAGGTTTGCTACGGCCACTACGCTCTGCCCAGCACTGATGGCCAGGGCCATGGAGGTGGCGGTGTAAGAAACGAGCACCACTGTAAGCATGAAGATGAAGAAATGTCCAGCAGTTGCCTGAAAACCTGTCCCCGGGAACAGAACAGTGTGAGACCTCCGAATGACCACTCTCATCACGAGAATCAACATTTATTACTTATGCCATACCTCTCATGCATAAGTAATAAAAAAAGCAGTATAGACAATAGACTACAGGGGTAACCGATTGGTAGGGGTTGATAGCACTCGTGGGTGGGGGGAGGGAAGTGCACTACAAATGGTAAAATTTCGATTTAAAGCTTTCGTGACTGCAGGGATTCATCTTCTTGGTTCTTTCGGTAAAGTCACGTAGAAGGGAAATAATAAAATAATAAAAATAAAACATTACATAAAATTCTCACGACGTTTCGGCCACAACACGAGCAGGACGGCTGAGGACACCCCAATGGGCTCCCCCCTATCTCCGGTTATAGCCAACATTTTCATGGAGAAATTTGAGACTGACGCCATCCAGACTGCCACTCTGCGCCCAACCTTATGGAAGAGGTACGTGGATGACACTTTTGTCATCTGGCCACATGGCCGGCCTGCTCTAGACCAATTCTTCGACCACATCAATTCCATACACCCAGCCATCAGATTTACCATGGAAGTCGAAAAAGATGGCAAGCTACCTTTTTTGGATGTCCTAATAAAAAAGAGACCTGATGGTTCAATGAGCCACTCTGTCTACAGGAAAGCTACCCATACGGATGCTTATCTCAAACCGGATTCCCACCACCATCCATCACAGAAGAATTCTCTCATCAAGACTGCACCATAGAGCCCAATGCATATCCAACCAGGAACACATAGACAGTGAACTCAAGCACGTACCCCAAGCTCTTAAGGCTAATGGTTACTCCGACTATACAATCCGCAAAGCTATCACTCAAACCATGTAGAAGGACCCTCTTGAGGAGCCTTTCAAAACCATCACTTTACCCTACATTGCGGGGATCACAAAAAAGATCTCCAAAATCTTGAATAAACACAAGATCCAGGTCCGTTTCAACACATTACATAAAATCCGTGATCTGGTTCCGTCTGTAAAAGATGTGATTCCGGATATACAGTACCCTGGTGTCTACAAACTAAGTTGCCTCTGTGGTAGTAGTTACATTGGAGAAACCAAACGCCATGTCTCGGACCGCATTCGTGAACACAAAGCAGACCTTAAACACGGTAGGACCAACACCTCGGCCATGGCAGATCATTGTTATAATTCAGTAGGCTCACATGACATTGACTTCTCCAAGACAGAGGTTCTTTGTAAGCCATCTGGCTACCATGAGAGATTCGTTCATGAGGCTATCCACATATACAAAAACGGAGACAATTTCAACCGAGAAGATGTATTCTGGCTTAGCAATCACTGGAAGGATTTGATAAACCATTTTGGGTCTTAATTGATTGTTCACGCTTACGGTGGCTTTCAGACAGCATACATTAATTTTTTGTCTCCCCCCTCCTCTTTTCCGACCATAGATGAACTCGTCCATCTAAACTGTCAAATCGCTATCCGTGATGCTAACGTTTAAAAATAAATAAATACAAACCACCACTTCTTTCAAATGTTCTTGCCATTGGTTTTCACACCTGATGATGACTGCTTGTGTTGCAGTCGAAACGTCGTGAGAATTTTATTGTTTTATATATATTTTATTGTATTGTTTCCCTTCAACGTGACTTTACCGAAAAAACCAAGAATATGAATCACTGCAGTCACGAAAGCTTTAAATCAAAATTTAACCACCGCTATAGTTTCAATCGTATTTCCCCTTGAGCAATGTGTAAGTGGTGGGTATCTGTGCGGTGCAATAAGATAACATGTCAGAAATAGTTTGACTTGCCGATCATCCAGTAGGTCACGATGGAAAAGACGGCTGCAGGCAATGTCCGCATAGGTATGAGGTCAGACATGACTTTGGCCAGAAAGTAGGCAGACACTCGGTAGTAGCCACTGATGTACTCATGTCTGTGAACACATGGCAATGAACATGAAGAAACATGCGCTAACCAACACTTCCTGCAATGTAGTGTTGTTGCTTTACTCTTTTCACATATTTGTGCCAATTAAGACTATGTATATTAATGATGAGAATAGTCCGTGAAGATCTGAATTAGTGCTGTAACATACATACATGCAAATAACAATGCATTGGGGGGAAAAGGTAAGGTAGCTACATATCTAGTGATGAACAATAGCTATTATATTCAGAATGATTTCATTGCATATTGGGGACAACTAAAAGCATGTTGATCGCTTAAAGCTGTCAATTCATCAACAGCCATGGTCTATCCACTGTTGGATGAAGGCCTCTCCATGACATCGTCATCTCACAAATTGCACACAAGCTGATCTCATCATTCCATATCCATGCAGGTTGTCCTCTCGACCTGGTTATTTCATTTGGCGCCATTCCATCACCATTATCGATCATCGACCGCCGACCTTCCTAGTGATGCATCCCACCCAAGCTCGCTTGCTTTCCTTAACAGTCAATAGGCTGTCATCAATTTGGATTTCTTTACCGATCCATGTGTGTTTCAATCTCCGAGTACACTACCATGCAAGCTCCTTTCTTACTTTTCATGCTTTTTAGATTTTGTTCCATTTTGTCGGTCTATCTCTTTGATGTCATAGCGTGGAACATACCCAGATTGAAGACGTACAGTTTTCCAAAAGCACTCCACCCTGCTCTCATGCACCACTTTATCTCATCATCTGGATCACACAGTCCAGTTTCAATAACTGTCCCTGGTAAACATATCCACCCGTTTACCAGTTAGACCTCGAGGACAACCATTTATTTTTGTTAAGCAGGATGATCATCGCTCCGAACTTACGTGAATATCTTTTTCTCCCGAATGAAGAGCTCAATTGCAGATACGCTGGAGAAGCACTGGTTGGTGGTGATAAAAAAGAGAGATCCAACCCTGAGGACAATTTGAATGGACAATGATGACACATTGACATGGCATAGGCTCTCTGCACATTCCAAGTGAAGCTGCGTGGTGGTGATACACGCCTGTAATCCAGCACTGCGAAGGCGAGGGTTGGTGGACTGCACTAATGTTACGAAACTCCCTTCCCATAGGCATCAAGGTGGCATACCCTGGCTCGCCAGGAAGCGGCGGTAGAGCAAACGTTCCACTAATCTCCATTTGGTCCATCATGGGACAGTGTCGCCTCTCGCGCACATGCGTTTCCCCTTGTTGCTGCGATTTCCATGCCCATGTATAAACACTCATTCATTTGCTGAAAACACCTTCATGAATATGATGTACTGTGGAGTTTGGCCTATTGTTGGCACCAGCTCACTGCCTGGCTGCCTTTTAGGCTTGCCTGTGGTTCCTTGTGCCTCTGAGTAATTATCTCCCTTTGGGAGCAAGAAAATAACTGTGCGCGCTCTAAGTAGTTAATTATTATTGTAATAAAACACTCTTTGCTCATTACTGAAAGACACTCAATACACGTAAAGTGGTGTGCGCAATACCTGTTCTGGATGCCGCTTGGATCTAGTCTAGCACCAAAGAATATGGCTCCAACAATCAGGCCCAAAACCAAAGTGACCACCAGCTGTGATTCCATGAAAATAAAGAGGAAAAAGAAACATCACTGAATTATACAATGACACAGCAAACGAGGTGTGACAAGTAAAATATAACCCCTTGTTTAATTGTTTATTTTATTTTCATTCGTTTTACCTACGTGACTTTACCGAATAAAACCAAAGAGTATGAATCCTTGCAGTCAGGAAAGCTTCAAATCTAGAATCTAACCCCTTGTTTAAAAAAATGCACCTTACAATAATAGCTGTTAAGGAGGAGGATTCCATTTAACAACAAGTTGGAGACATTATGCAAATGCACGATTTATGTAATGAATTCCCACAAATGCTTTTCTTCAGAATTATGCAATTAGCAGAATAGAAACCAACGGTGGACGTTACGACAAAATGCGTTTGCATGTTTGCAAAAATATTTATTTTGCTGTTGGTGGCATCTCTCAATTTTGGGTAATGACTTGATCAACTTGTCCAGTTTTTAATAATGCAAGTCCCCGATTGTAAACATACATTCATGCTAAAGTTTATTTCGAATTGGAGTTATAGCACCCTGCATCCCTGTTACAGCGGACAGAGCTAATGCATAAAGACTATCAACTTTAGTTCGAAAGCCATAAAAAGGGACACTAATAAAATCCTCACATAACACCGTGCCAATTTTATGTTCCACATGGCCAAACAAAAAATTTACCTGTGCAATGGAGACTTGTGGGTTTCTCGAAAGGTTGGTCACAGAGCGCTTGGTGACCCACAAGAGCTGGTGGAAAAAGGAGGTCGCGTAGGTGACGCTCTGTGTTTTAATGCTGATCGAAGCCTTCGAGCCCACGGACGCGAAGATCTTGCGCAACTCCTCATCGTTGGCCCTGTAAACGTCAGAGTTGTGGTACGCCTCCTGCAGCTGCTCTGCAATAGTCCTGTGCTCCCCCTGCTTGACCTCTTCCTCGTCTGTGGCACAGAGGGGTACACAAGAGACACGCACAATGGAGAGATATAAAACTTGATTTGAAGCTTTCGTGACTGCAGGAATTACTCTCTGGTTCTTTCGGCAAAGTCACGTAGAAAGAAAATAAATTAAATAATAAAATACGATGTTTCGATTGCAACACAAGCAATCGTCATCAGGTAAGAATGAATGAGAAAACAAACCTAGTAAACTTAGAAATATAATGCAATACAACACAGAGAGTCGGCTAACACAACAGTCAACACCCTACCTGGTTGATTACATTCTTCCAAAGATTGCTAAATTTGAGAGAGAGACAAAACACAGACACGGAGACACACAGCCAGACACACAAGCAGAGATAGGCAACAGAGACACACAGAGAGACACCGGTTCGATCTCCCCAGAGTGGTTTTTGAAACAATGGTACAAGATTCTTAAATTCCTCCACCACTGACCACCCAGCAGCAGAAACGGGTACACCAGATTTATCCCGTCGGCACGGCATGTGTGGTGGGGTCAAGTGTGGGTACTCCTACCTCTTTTGAGACGTCTGGGCAGCGTGGAAGAATAGACCAAAATTCATACTAAAGTGGCTTCCTCGGGCACCCTCTAGTGAAGACCCTTCCCATCAGCAGCAGCAAGCAATTTCAGGGCTACAATTGTAACTATACGTATTGCATGTGAATTTAACTGAATTTGACTTGTGTGCATCGAAAAAGTGACACACTTCAGTGAATTCACAGAATCAGATAAACCAATACTTCACATATAAACAAGTCCTGTGAAACAGAATTTGCTGCGATTGAGCAATGGAAAATGTACGACGCATTAAAGGTCAGTTGCTTGGGAACAATCTCCAGTAATCTTTGTGTATAGCCACAACAGGTGTTTGTACTTTTAAAGCACCGTAAACAGTGCTTTGTATGAAAGATGTATATGCAGTTCACACCCATTTAAAGTACAAAATATATGCTTCTGAGTAATTCAAAGCAGCCCCTGAGGTGGGTTCACATTTGAGTAGAAAGACATTCATTTTTGAAGAGGCCTTTAATACAGCATAATGTTGATCCATGAAAAAGTAATGTGGATTAAAAAGTCAGTACATCATTAAAACACACTTTTAGAATGTCTACAGAAAACCCATGACACTGAGTGGTCTTCACAACGTTCAGGGTTCTTCTTTCAACAAAGGACATGCGGCTCAAGTTGGCCAAAACCAAACCGGCTTATGCAATGGGAGATGACAGCAAACAAATTCAATTAAATTCACTATGGGATCAGTAACTACCCATCCTGGGTGTGTTGTATGGAATGTAATTGAAGGTACCATGGAAAAGTGACATTATATAGCACCTTTCTGTAATTCCCGATTTATCATATATCAATTAAATTACTTGAAGTATGATTTAAGACAAACTACTATGATAGCGTTAATGGTACCATCCTTTGTAAGTGTAACTATACTGCCCAAGCAAACATGTGACTAAAAGAAAAGCAGTACATTGACATTAATAACCTCCAATTCATCTTTTCAGTACAACAAAAACACACCTAAACTTCTGAGATTTCTCACTGTGGTGAGTTACATGTTCGATGTTCACGAATGCTGGTTGTTGAGCGATTATATTATTTGTGCAGGATACAGCACAATAACCGGTTTGTCCTTTCTGGCATCCCATGTAGAAAAAGGTACACGCACGTTGTTCGGAGAAATGCAAAAGTGCACGTAAAAAGCATTTGCACCATTTTGAGAGAGATCAATTTCTTCCTCGCCGCTGTCATCATCGCACTTTTCATTCCTCATGGCTGCCACGGCGGTCGAGTCTCCGTTTATGATGTCCAAGAAGAAGTCAGCGGGATTGTTGTACGGCTCGCACTCGTAGCCTGCGAGCACGAGCGTGCGCATTACAACGCCCAACACAAAGACACGACACATCGGCTTGGGCAAACATTGGACATAAATAGGATCTAAAAGACGTGAACTTTCACTATAAACATTGACAATTATATATATACACACACATACACAATGCTATATTGCACTTGCCTTGCTTGCTACATGATTGTCATTTCTAATGTTCATAAATGTTTATGCTCAAAGTAAAACAAATATTATTATGGCTTACAATAAAATGCGAAATCTGACACGGTCTAAAAACTGCTGATTAGTGGTTTAATTTGTAAAATTATTATTAGTTTCATCCAAGCGCGGTCTTCAAGCTTGAGTTAAGAAATGCTCAACCCAGAAAACAGCACAAGTGGGTGAATTACGAGTGGCTGAGAAATCTTAGGTGTTAGATGAAGTGTAACTTAACAATTCATTTATTTAATACCAGGCAACGTGATGTATTTTTCCATGAAAGGAAACCGACCTTGATTTTGCATGGCAGTACGGCACACTCACCAAGATTCTGGAAGTAGCTGAGAGCGGTCTTGGAAGGGCCGTGGTACACCAGGCTGCCACTGGCCAGCAGCGTCAGACTGTCAAAAAGCTTGAATATGGAGTAGCGTGGCTGATGGATGGAGAAGATGATGGTCCGACCCTTCCGTGACATTCTGCATTCATTCAAATAACCCAACACGCATGCACACCAAAAAACATCATCCCAATCAGATCTTAAAGCAGAAATCCTCAGCAAGAATACATAGAGAGGCAGCTCACATCTTAGTGAATCAGTCGATCCTCGTGATTTTGGTGATTTGTCCCGTTGTTGATAATGGAGACCCGTGGCAGGTATTCATATGAAAAAAAATCAGATGAAATGAGACGAGTTTTTTTTTTTAATCATTCATTCAGGATGCGAGCCAACGGCACATTCGAATCAAGCCTTTCTGATCAACTCCAACAGACGAATAAGACCCATGTGAAATGTGGACTGGCCGATAATGATGATGAAACGCTGTTGTGAGCGAGCGCCGTTGGGGCTGCTGCTGCTGCTGCTGGGCGCACCGCTTGAGCAGCAGGAGAACGGCGTTGGCTGTGCTGGCGTCAAGCCCAGTGGTCGGCTCATCCAGGAACAGCACTGACGGGTCGTTGATGAGCTCCATGCCAATGTTTGTGCGCTTCCTCTCGCCACCGGACACGCCGCGGATCAGCTCAGTCCCCACCTGCGCATTTCAGCAGAGCATACGCAGGATGAATGCAGCGACTCCTAATTCTTGTTTTGCATCACGCAATTGGTCGATCGGCACGTCGTGTGCGATGGGGGAGATCAGAATCTTGATCAGAATCATCATTTCGACGGGAGGAATCCGATGAGCTATGATATCCAGTAGGGGCGGGTCAGCAAGTTACAATAACGAACAATACAAAAAAATGATAGGAGTGCAAAACAGAAAAATGTAAGTAAGTTACTATAAATAAAAAAAGTATACAAGTACAAACTGCATAAGTATATACATTCCTGTCGATTTGTCAACACCAAATGTAAGCTTGGGAAAGGCAGCAAAACAATGGATATAATTCTCATTTTGGATGAACAGGACATATCTTTGACAAAACCCAGAATAAAATGTATCCAAATACATCTTCCCCTGCACACATCAACCATAAAAACGTTGTCAAACGTCATCATCCCTAATTTCTCGTTCAGTACCATATCCGCACTCGGCTATATTGTACGTTTTTCCTATTTCACACATCTTTCACACATAACTGAAATCCGTGACGAAAGCAGGGAAAAATTCATGATGCTCAGGTCCTTTTAAATTGTGTATATTTATATTAATATATAATAATTTATATTACACACTGTATATACAATGGAAATCTCTCTAAACACGAATGTCCTTTCAGTAAGTGGCTGGCAGTCTCACCCACAAACACCACCAAATGCACCGTTTGATAGCCACAGCAACATAACACTAAAAGCCACCGAGTCTTCCACTCAAAAGGCAAGGGAGCCAACTCGGCATGGCCCTATTGATCAACAAGCGCGAGACATTACTGCTGCATTCACACGCCGCGTTTACCTTCGAGTCGGCACACTTGGCGAGTCCCAACTCCTGGATGATCTGGTTCACTCGCTCCTTCTTCTCTTGCTGGCTGATTGACTGCGGCAGTCGCAGAGCAGCGGAGAACTCAAAGTTCTCCCGAACGGTCAGTGTACCCATCACCACGTCATCCTAAAGGGAGGATCCGACGGATTTGTCAGCACTTAACTGCACCGCAACGACGATTCAGGTTGGAGGGGCGATTACAAAACTCCAGCTCCGAGAGCCATGGTTGCAACATGAAGCGCCATACTTCATGCATCACATTGCGAGAAATTAAGCCGCCCAGAGGAATGACGGCAAGGCAGGCAAAGGAGGGAGCGTGCCACCGCGGAAATTGAGAGATATCAATAATGTGTGGAGGTGGTGGATAGACTGTTGCAGAGCGGGGCCAAGGGGGATAGTCACAGATTGGGGAGGTCTTCATTGAGGAGGGGAATGATCCTGGTTGATGTTGACAAATTCATATGGCAACCAATATCTATTATATCTGTACATGGTGACTTGGAGGCCCAGGGAATTTTTAGGAAATTTACTTAATAATTAATTGTATGGAGGTTTTAAACATAAGGTATTTGTATCGTGTAACATTTTTATGCGTTGTTAAACATGTTCAAAAGATTTGGTTTCACTAGTGCAATACATAAAGTATATACTTCCAGCTTTCAATTAACGCATATGTTTTAATGCTTTACAAATAGCCGATTTGATATACGTTTGACTACATTTTGGGTACAAGCAAGTTCATCTGTGCGAATGTTAGCAGACGCCCCACTCTACACATCGTGACATTAAACCTTCGCGACATTAAATGTATGACTAAGGATGGGTGTGGAGAGGAAACGTGTGGCCGCTTCAGCAGTTGGGGACTTCCACTGAACTTGGTGGTTTAGTCAAAAATAAATAAACCAATGGGTTTGTCTTTGTTAACACCGGGTTCGTAAAAACACACCAACCTGCACAACATAGCCAGAGACGCATTTGAAGTTAGGCGGCTGTGGAGCCCCATCCACAAGAACAATGCCTTCGAGTCCATTGGGGTCCTTCCTGGCAGCCAAAACATCCAGAAGCCTGGAGACAGCAGCAAACCACACCATCAAATCAGGGGACCGCAATATTCTCAGTGCTGAAACGACTTCCCACCATTATCCTCACAATAGGTCAACATCAAAGACAAGTGCATCAGATGTGCTTCTGCAAGCCGTCTGGAATGCTCTTCCTTCCGATATTAAGAGGTTACTGGAGCTATGCACTTTTAATTCAAGGTAGAAAACGAATTTCTTTACAACAATTTTTTTCTTTAGTTTGTTGTCCTCCCTCTGCACCTCCAATTGGCACGGTTGGCCACGTACGGTGCGAAAGAAGTGAAACCTCGTACAACTGGAAAGTGTTAGCGTTGCCAAAAGGGATATTGATATAATAACCTAGAAGGGAAAACATATTTAAAATCAGCCTTTCATCACTTGTGAAAGTACAAATGTTAGTTGCTAAATTTTCAAGGGACACACTTTGGTAAACATTTTTCTCAGAAAGGCTTGTCTTAAGCATACATATCGACAAATAACTTACAAAAAAATGGCAGGAGCATATCCGTGTGAGTCGTTTTAATACTCCAGTGTGAAAATGCATCCAGTCACATTCACAAATTATGAATTGTCATTCAGATTCAAATAATCGACCTTTCGAACTGAAAAACTGCATATGGCCTCGTTTTATAGGACCAAAGATTAGGACAAAAATTGAGATGGTGATGCTGGAAGGTTCCTGATATCTGGACAAGTTAGCATGGAATGACCCTGTTGTTGTCAGCATGTGACATCCCACTCCTGGGCCAAGGCCTCCTTCATTTTCCTCCATTCCTTCTTTTCCTTAGGCGTGCCTGTCCAGCCGTGGCCTCCGGCTGTGTGTGCATCAACATCCCTTTGTTTATTTACATATAATTGTTTTCACTTCAAATAAGGGGTGGTGAATCTGAAACTGCGAAAAAACGATCTGGCCGACCCTAGCAAAGCTGGAAAGACCCAAAAACGATTGACATGAGCATGGTATGGGTGAGACACACAATGTGAAGTGATTAAATGTGCAAAGGGATCAAAACTTACGAGGACTTTCCACCACCTGTTGGCCCAAGAATGGCATTCATACCAGGCTTCATGATCCCACTGGAAAAAAGCAGACATGCCCTGTTACACATGCTCTCTTCAAATGGCGCGTTTGCATTTACTACAGCCTCATTGACAGAAATTTGTTTGGACAAGTACACTATTATTATTCCATTCCGAGACGACATATAATGTTGACACATTATGTACAACATGGATATGGCACAAATCTTTGAGTAAAAGGCCAAAATGCATGATCATCAATGTTGGGAGAGTATATTCTCATTGTTTTTTAATCTAAAATATAATTTAAAAAATTAAACAGTGACTTTAAAAAACAAGCAAACATTGGACCTTTTCACTTGCGTTGCAATTGTGATCATGCATTTTTATTTAATTTCAAAGTCCATTCCAGATGCGGCTGAGTAAAAAAAAATCTCATGTTAAATACATGACTGCCAGAAGTAAAAAAATGCATCGTAACAAAAGGAGCATTGTATTGGCAGATAAATGACAATTTTTTACTTAATTCTTCACAAGTTATCCAACGAGTAAGGCTTACAGGTATGGTGTTGCCTAAATATTAATAACATAGCTTGAGATGTATTTATTAAAATAAAATGTATTATCCATAATAGCGTAGGAATAAAAATTAGGATTTTTTTTTATCAAATATGAAGTGCTGTTATCTACAACTATCACAATTAAAACATAATCTTCATAAATGGTCATTATCATAAAATACATAGTTTTTTTCAGCCAATATCAATATTCATTTTAGATTTTTGGGTTAGGCCATGTAATCATCTGGCCGAACATTTCTGTTCTAAGACCCCTCCACCACCTGACATGTCATGTGTATAAGCATTGGACGTGCCTATTATTATTGTCAGCTCTGCAGCAAGTTGAATAATAATCTCACATCCAAATTAAACTTACCAGGGAGCTGAAATAATAATATATTGGCATGCTAAACACTTGTACACCATGTGACATATCATTTGTTTGGATATGGTCAGGTGGTGAAGGAGATATCGCAACAGAACATTTTCCAGATCATTAAAAGTAAATTATGAATCATTAATCATCATTGTAAGAATCTTATTCATTATGATAATTGTTATTTATTAATATACATTTTAAATCAGGATAAACTTGAGATTGACATCTCATTTATAAAGGAATCCTGGCAAGACGGCAGGAGTGAGAATCTCTAGAGACATGTGGAACACATGCTGAGAATGTTACCGTCTCAACTTTAATTTGAACTATATTCTGCCAACTTAGTTGCTGTGGTGAAATTGGAGTGACCATGGAAAATGTCTATTTGTTATTTTGGAGTTGGCACAACAGTCCTACAATTTTGCAGTCACAAGCTCTTAATTGCTGTGAAGAGAAGCAATAGACAATTCAATTAAGTAATCTAGCGCCAAGTCATTTAATGCCTTGCAGGAAAATAACTGAATTCAAATAAAATCTTGACTTAAAGCTTTCGTGACTGCAGGGATTCATATTCGCTTGTGTTGTGATCGAAACGTCGTAGTTTTGTTATTTTTTGTTCTTTTCTTTCAACCTATCTACGTGACTTTACCGAAAAACCCAAAGAATATGAATTCAAATTGACAACGTGGCTTGATTTTTGCCAAGTTGGAAACAAATTTTATTTGCTTACAGGGCACACATAGTCACACCGAATATAAGGCTGTAAACCAGATTACATGATAAACATCTTGAGACCGGCACGTGCAGGTTTTGGCTTTTTTCCTAGGTTTGAATATGCCAACGGATCTAGTTTACCGATGTGACTGGCCATAGTTAGACAAGTTTGAAATTGTACATTCAAGCTTTTTAAACTTAAAACTTTTATAGAGTGCATCCATCAATGTTTGTGGGAACTGTAAATGTTTTCCATCATCATCATCACCTTCAACATCACCGTCATCTCCCATTACAATCAGTTCTGTCAAAAAATCACGAGGTGACATTTCGTAATGTTGCCACAAAATAGCATATTGAAGTTGCTCTCCAAGCTGCGTTGTGGACCCGATAACCCAAGTTCGATTCCTGGATACGGATAACAGAATAGGTTCATCACCAATACTCTCCAAACCCTACACTCAACCAACCCACAAAACCATGACTGACACGGTGCAGTGAGGCCTTCATCCATTGGTGGATTGAAAATGACTGGAATGTATTTACTTACATACAAAGAGATTCAGTGTTCTCTAAAACGGAGATTACATAATTGTAAATGTAACTGACGAACATTGGTAGAGCAATGTAAAACAATTATCATCACGTACAACCATAAAACACAGTGAATCTGCTAACGGTGGATGCAGCAGTGTGCGCTGTTATCGGGAGCTCACTTTATGTTCTTGAGGATCTCCTTGACGATGACCTTGCGGCGGCAGGGCAGGCCGCTCTTTTGCTTCACCGAGTAGTTGATGTTGTGAAAGCTCAAGATGGAGCCTTGCAGGAAGCGCTGGGAAGTGCGCGTTGAGATCGAGCGCTTGATGACGTTGTCCAGGTCAGGCTCCATGTTCACGATTGCCATTACCGGCCTCCCCTTGTCGCTCCTCTGCATGACAAACATCGGTTCCACCACAGCACTCTGAGCGTGTCCCTTCCCAGGCTTGCCATTCTCCGCCAGCATGATCCATGGTGAATAGGAGAATAACTGTTTGGAATGGTTACAACTGCACAGTGTGATGTGTTTCGAGATGTATTACTGCAGAGATTTTCAAGTTAATGCTTTATAGCGCTCTGATATGTTTGGGTTGTACCACATGTTGAGCGGTATTTCTGACGTTTTGCTCCCATTAATTGAAATCAGTGACTGAAGAAGCTCCCAGCACGTTGAGCGAATGTTAAGATATCATGCAAGACAACAAGCGGTACAAGAGGAAAACACGTCGAAGGGCTTTACTAAAATAAATCGTTAATGATTTGGTTGATTGATGGTACCAATCTCGATCAAGGGAATACAACCAATTTCTAACACCCACTGATTGATGGGTTTTTTAATTGGCTCATCATAGGCCTCCGGTGTTCCACAGACCATACAATGTGTAAACAATCCCATACAATGTGTAAACAATCCCATACAATGTGTAAATAATCCCATACAATGTTTAATGTGGGTGTGTGGGTTTCGCATGGAGCAGTGCGTTTTTGAGCAATTTCAATCCCTGCAATGGAATCATATTTATTGATATTGGTTAACTTGTATAAATGCAATTTTCCCCATGAGAGGCAAACGTTAGACAGAGACCCCAATGCTTGAACCCAGCGCTGTGACAGAGACAGACAGGGTCGGGTTTTTAGAGTGCTTGTTTTCCTGTAGAAGGAATATTGAGCTAACCCTTCCATTGCAAGAACAAAACAGACCTGATGTTTAGTAAATAATTCATACACTGCATTGGATTGCAAATATTTATTTCTTAAATATGACATCATTCTCTGCAAGATGCATTTGAAATTATAATATAACATGTAATGCAGCAGTTATGAAAAAAGTGTTTTACTTTCAGGGTTACAGACAGCAGTTCACCTATAAATTGTACACAATGGGCAGCTAGATGGTATAATTCCAAAAGTGCATAAATGTACAATGTGTGCCCTCTTGGGAAATGCATTATACTAAATTTGTAGCCCTTTGTCAATCAACTGTTGAACAAAAGCCTCCTAAGTTATGTCGGTCATGGTTGTTGTTTCATCACACTTCACCGTACTGGTCAGTGTGAGATGATAAATGGGTGATGGTCAGGTTAAGATGTCACTCGCCAATTCATGTTAGCCATGGCCAGGTTAATAACACAATGTGCAAGACACTGCACCACCACTCCAATCCCTGTCATGCATTGTGTGAGAGCGTTTATGTGCATTTGTAACATTTAACTCATAATAAAGCTTAAGTATTTGGCAATGGGGAAACATGAGCGGATTTGAGCTCTCCAGCAATGAAGATTAGGTCTGAAAAAAAAGTCAGGTAAGTTTCCACTTGGCAGGTGTGTCAGCCAATTTAGTTTCAGAGCTCAAGCGCCTTAAAACATTACACTGCAATTACAGACCCGACTACAATTCCAGCTCAGCTATGGCCTTTGAGAAAAACATGAGATGATATGTAATCTGCAATATGCAGCACGTTAAATATCGTGTCCGACGTGAACACAGAATGCTCACGTGACCATCCACACAATTATCCCTCGTGATGTAAACCACTTATTAACACAATGGCTCCTAAAACACATCGGTGACTGGCAATGGTGAGCAATGCCTAGCATTGTCTAGCAAATAATAACATGTTAATTATACTATATACGGTATATATACGTGTATGCAATACCAGATTTCATTTTTTAAGAGCAATGCAATAATTTATGTTACCAGGATTGCACTGGCAGAACAAGTGGATGGTGTTTAACGTAACAAAACTGTTACTCGCTAAAGCTACATATAGACACAATAAAATGCTATTAGGAAATTGGACAGAATACACAAATGAATTAAATATATGAAGAAAACATTAACCATATTTATCTGTCAGAGAGACTTCATTTGAAGGTCACAGCAGAATATGTATAGCCAGCACAGTTATTAAAGGGAAATTGGATAACAAAAATAACAACATAAGCAGCAGATATGAGCAAGTTGGCTGCTTCTGAAATGCTGGACCTGATAATAAGAAGCCCAACAAACCCTGGAAAGAAAGTTTTTTTTTTAAGATTACCAGCTGTAACATATAGAGCCAGACATGGAAATTGACAAAGAACATTTTACAAATGCTCTAGAATGTGTTAAAAAAACACATGGGAGCTGCACGCTTAGAATTACTCTGGCAGAAAGAGGAACACCCACATTTGAGAATGTAGGCAGATTCATGTTTTTATTACTTTTAATAAGAGGAAGAAGGCTTGGGAAATGCATGTCCCGATAACGAATGATGGCTCGTGGTTGAGACTAAGGATGATGGAGTAGCAGCCCAGGTAAGGAATGCAGTCTACACGATGTCCACCGAGAAGATGCAGCAATGAAATCAGCTCGCGTGGAAGTGGTAGGTGAATTAAAACTTTGTAAAACCGCGAGATGATGGCGGTTTGGGGAAGCCTTCATCCAGCAGTTGATTGATCATGGCTGGTGATGATGCCTTTCGAAACAACTACACTCACATGACATATCAGCTGTCAGTGATTTGCTGAAGGCAGCCAAGACTGGTTTCGCTCGACAGTTTTGGCAGGAAACATGTTGCTACTCTGTCACTAAAACTCGTGGTATAACAATGTATCAGTTACTTAACATGTACTCCTTAAGCTCGTGATACATGCATCATGTCATGTGTGTGGTGTGTGAGAATTTACGTTGTTCAATTCGTCTGTAGTTTAATACTGCAATTTTTGAGAGCAGGGAAACTTCGAATACTGGGGTTATTTATTAAATTTAAACCTATGAAGGTGGGAATAAAGAAGTAAAAGGCACTTGGCATAAACATTAATTATTCAAATGTATTTATATTCAGCGATGTTAAACTTTCATTAGGTATCAATTCCACCTACCAATCATCATTGGCCATTTCATCAGCAGCTGTGCCATCCTATAGAATTGTACGTGCATTTTAAATTGCTCACAGCAATTCTACACAATTTTATTTGATACAGCACTCTTCTTGCAGAGTGCACCAGAGCACTTTACAAAAAAACTCTATACACTATTGGCCTATCAATAAACTCAAAATAATCTAACTGTAACAATTATTTATATATTTAAAGATTCCATTGTGCCAGAATCCTGATACAACTTGTGACAGAGTTCCAGAGCCAGGGAGCATAATTACTAAATAATACCCTTTCCCATCCTGGTTTTCAGAAGACTTCCAGGAACTACTCAAAGTTCAGACTTTCACTGATCTCAAGGTGCGACTAGGAGCATAAGAAACCAAACAGTTCCTGGAAATATAAAAGGCAGCAGACCACAAAAGGCCTCATATAGATAGGTATAAGCATTTGTACATCTATCCTGGGTTTAAAAAGGAGTCCAGTGCATCGACTTAACAATGAGAGTTCAGAATTAAACCCAAATTAAATCATGACGAGCCCACAGATGTCCAGCACCTACAGGAACAAATTAAGGGTAAAAAGCCATAACTCAAACCGCGAAATGCCTGGCCAACACTTCTGTTTTCACCCAGGCAAGGTCCATCCTTGTGCACTCTGGCAACCCGTGTGTTCCATCCATCTCTCGGAATTATCCAGGAAAATTTTTTAATAAAAAAACTCCATGAAGAAGCAAGAAAAACGTTCAAACAGTCCACAACTTTAAAACAATTATTTTGTTTATAGAAAAACACCTTTCTTTAATTTGAGATGTTGTCATCTTCACAAGCCTTAATGAGCCAATCTTCTCCATTCAGATGCTAATTCAGTGATTGTTAAAGAATGTCAACCTCTGGGCAATATGTGACACGTGAAGGGGGAAGTGGCGGTGGGCTGACTGACCAGTTTTGGCTACATTGGCAAAGACTAGGACATCAATGTAACTTCCATCGGATTACAAAATAATTATATGCATTCTACACTTCGTTCCCATGTACAGGCAGTTGTGTGCTCTTGTGTATAAAGTACCTGGATGTGTATCAGTACGCATGTATTTACGAATGCGTGTTATGCATGCAGAACTTCTTTCACACCGTGCTAATCGGAGGTGCAGGGGAAGGACAACACGCATATGCGTGCAGGTGAGTTTGTGTCCGTGTACACCCATGAGCCTACGTGTGCGTCTGTGCGTGCCCGTTACAATTTAGATTAGTTTTTTTAGAACGTCGTAATGCGACTGTATCTCAGGACGGGTGAGGGAAACCAGTGCCTTGGGGGAACGGAGTTTAAAACTACGGTGGGAATTGTGGAATGCGCAATCTCACACGGACCAAAATGTTGCCTCGAGGGCTGAGATGATGCATCGGTGGCAGAAGCAACGCGTGCCCAGCGGGGAGTAGAGTGAGATGAGAGGGCAGAAGTAGGACGAGGGGGTTGAGGGTATAGCATGAAAAAGAGCTTCATAGCTCATCGGATTCCTCCAGTCTAAATAAAGATTTTGATTCTGTATGGAGGGAGGGAGGGGGGGTAGAGTTTGGAGAGTACCTTACTGAGAGCACCGCGCGAAAAGACGGGAGGTAGCACGGACGTAGTGTGGAGAGGAGTCGAGTGAGATGAGAAGGAGGTTGGAGAGTGTGCAGAGCTGAGTGAGATTAGAAGAGAGATAGAGAGGAGCATGCGGAGGGGGGGGGGTCGAGTGACAGAGGGCATTGCTGCTCGGGGCTCAAATGGGTCTCGGTCGGCTCCTGTGTAGAGAGGGGGTGGGGGTAAACCAAAACCAAAGTCCATGACGAATGAGCAAGCTGCTCGTTAGACATGTCGTGTGCTCGAATTTACACATCGAGGTGGAGTAGTGGTAGCAGTCGTTGTCGCTCAGCGCTATGAATGGCCACGGTTAACTTCGGTGAGCAGTAACATCCGAATCGTTCTTTAAAGGTCACTCTCAACCAAACCGGCACGGTGAAGTATGGTCAAGCATGTATCGATGAATGTAACATCAACTATGGGCATGCGCACAGCAAGGCCGTAGTAGCCATGGAGTCAACATTGGAAGGGGACAAAATCTTCCAGGGTGGCTGGGGGTCCCAACCCAGACAAAAAAAAATCTAAATTTGAAAACTTATTTCCTGCCTAAAATATTAAAAAAATTCACTAACACATGGGATGGACTTTTTCTTTATTTTTAACAATAATGTCTAATAGTGTATATTGTATTACATTGCTCTGTTTTTACTTTTTTTGTACCATTTCTTGTTTCATTGTATGTAATGGCAGAGATTAGGTATTAATAAAGTACTACTACCATAACCACAATCATATAAACAGAAATCTATGCATTGATTTATATGAAGACAAGTCCAGATATTGTGGCCAAGGTTTATCAAATTGTTTTTATTTACATCGCATAGCAATTATTTTTTTATAGCAATATATGGGGGAGGGGGGGGCATTTTGAGCATATTTTAATATTGGGGGGGGGGGGGGGGTGTGTGTGTCCCAATATATATTATAATAACGGCCTTGGCGCACAGTCACATACAATAACCGGGGGAAGTGTACCAAAGACAAAAGATTCCCTTGCGCAGCCTTAACAGACGGTTTAGGGCAAGTGCCGCTCGCGTGTGGCACACGTGGGTAGTGGCGACACGCACCACCCCCGGCCGCCTTTGTCTCCCCCCCCCCCCACAGTGGCGATATTTACCCCACACCGCCACACCAGCTACTCGTTTGGAGGCCGAGTCGACCTAGGGGAGGACCGGCGGTGGCCGTGAGCGGCGGCGGCGGCGACGACTTTGCCAAGCCACGCGTGAGCCATCAGCCACGCGTGAGCCATCAGCCACGCGTGAGCCATCAGCCACGCGTGAGCCATCAGCCACGCGTGAGCCATCAGCCACGCGTGAGCCATCAGCCACGCGTGAGCCATCAGCCACGCGTGAGCCATCAGCCACGCGTGAGCCATCAGCCACGCGTGAGCCATCAGCCACGCGTGAGCCATCAGCCACGCGTGAGCCATCAGCCACGCGTGAGCCATCAGCCACGCGTGAGCCATCAGCCACGCGTGAGCCATCAGCCACGCGAGACTTGACCACTGCCATGCGGAGCTGCAACTATGCGAACCTTCACCACTTCCAGGGTACTTACTGTACCAGTGGCGTGTGACGTGTGGTGTGTATCTGTGTGTGGTGTGTGGTGTTTAACTTGTGGTGTGTGACGTGTCTGTGTGTGGTGTGACGTGTGGTGTGTGTGTGGTCTGTGACGTGTGTCTGTGTGTAGTGTGTGTGTGACGTGTGTCTGTGGTGTGTGTGACGTGTGGTGTGTGTGTGGTGTGTGTGTCTGTGTGTGTGGTGTGTCTGTGTGTGGTGTGTGTGTGTGGTGTGTGGTGTGTGTCTGTGTGTGACGTGTGTGTGTGGTGTGTGACGTGTGGTGTGTGTGTGTGGTGTGTGTGTCTGTGTGTGTGTGGTGTGTGTGTCTGTGTGTGGTGTGTGACGTGTGGTGTGTGTGTGTCTGTGTGTGGTGTGTGTCTGTGTGTGACGTGTGGTGTGTGACGTGTGTGTCTGTGTGTGGTGTGTCTGTGTGGTGTGTGTGGGGTGTGTGACGTGTGTCTGTGTGTGTCTGTGTGTGTCTGTGTGTGGTGTGTGGTGTGTGTCTGTGTGTGGCGTGTGTCTGGTGTGGGGTGTGTGACGTGTGTCTGTGTATGGTGTGTGATGTGTGTCTGTGTGTGGTGTGTGACGTGTGTCTGTGTGTGGTGTGGTTTGTGTGTGTGTGGTGTGTGACGTGTGTCTGTGTATGGTGTGTGTCTGTGTGTGGTGTGTGATGTGTGTCTGTGTATGGTGTGTGATGTGTGTCTGTGTATGGTGTGTGATGTGTGTCTGTGTGTGGTGTATGACGTGTGTCTGTGTGTGGTGTATGACGTGTGTCTGTGTGTGGTGTGGTTTGTGTGTGTGTGGTGTATGACGTGGGTCTGTGTGTGGTGTATGACGTGTGTCTGCTCGCGAACAGCACTTGCCCCTACAGTCTATAAAGGATACACGGGGATCTTTGTCTCTGTGTGTGTGGCGTGTCTGTGTTCCTCGGTGTGGTGTGGCGTGTCTGTGTGTGTGGTGTGTGTGGTGTGTGGGGAGTGGTAGTGTAGCGGTTAGCGCTACGCTGCGCTATGAACCTGGCGACCCGAGTTCGATTCCCGCTCACGGCCAACACCAGTGACGATTATCTGAACCGGTCCCGGGCCTCCCCTAGGTCGACTCAGCCTCAAATGAGTACCTGGTGCGGTGTGTAAACATCGCCACTGGGGAGACAAAGGCGGTCGGGCGTGGTGCTGTCCACCCACCCCTCGTGTACCGTTCCGGCCTTCATAGGTGCTCGCTAACAGCACTTGCCCCTACAGTCTGTTACAGGCTATATGGGGGATCTTTGTCTTTGTTTGTGTGTGTGGTGTGTAGTGTGTGTGTGTGGTGTGTGTAGTGTGTGTGTGTAGTGTGTGTGTGTGATGTGTGTAGTGTGTGTGTAGTGTGTGTGTAGTGTGTGTGTGGTGTGTGTGAAGTGTCTCTGTGTGTGTGTGGTGTGTGTGGTGTGTGTTGTGTGTGGTGTAGTGTGTGTGTGGTGTCTGTGTGTGTACACCACAGCTGGACATCGTGGTACGGGCCTTGTAACGCCGCTCTGCGCCGTGAGAACCGCAAACAACGTTGTTTGCGGTGGCTATTTGTTTTAATGTAAAAGATGTTCTTGTTGTTATCTTTGCCCGTGGGTCACGCATTGCAACCACCCCCACCCACCCCGCATAACAATCCCCATTCATATTTTCCAATGCTGCGTTGGTAATTTAAAAACAAAGCATCTCTACGGCGGTAACGTCACAATATCACCAGCGATGCAAACAGCAGCAGCAGCTGTATTACTCACGTTGTGCGGACGGATCGTCGCTGCTGCCGATGATGATGCTGATGCCAAACTTGGTCTTGCTCCTATAGGAATTACGCCGCCGCCGCCTCCTCCTCCTCCTCCCGCTTTGTTGAGCGAGCTAAGCCGAGAGGCGTGCACCGCGAGAGACACAGAGCGACACAGAGCTACAGAGAGACACAAGGTACAGAGAGACACGAGCTACAGAGCGACACAGAGCTACAGAGCGACACAGAGCTACAGAGCGACACAGAGCTACAGAGCGACACAGAGCTACAGAGAGACACAAGGTACAGAGCGACACAGCTACAGAGCGCCACCCGCGTGTCGCTGTGACCAAAGGCGCCGCCCGCGTGTCGCCGACCCGTCCACGTGCTTGGGGAGCCCCCGCCGCTGTCTCGGAGTTTCTTTTTTATTTAGCGAGCCCGCCGCCGCCTCCTCCTCGCACGCGACAACCCCGCACGCGACCCCCCCATCCCCCGCAACCCCTCCCCCCATCCCCCCAAACCCCTCCCCCCATCCCCCCAAACCCCTCCCCCCATCCCCCCAAACCCCTCCCCCCCATCCCCCGCAATCCCTCCCCCCCTCCCCATACATCGCCACCCCACCCAGTCTCGCGCGAGACTCCGTTCCCCACTCCCCATCCCGCCCCCCACCGCCTCCTCATCCTCCTCTGACCCCCCCCCCAAGCCATCGCACACGATGAGCGTTGGACCAATAGCAGGGAGGCGATGATTGTTCGAGGCACTGCCGCCTTCACTTTGCGTCGGGCGTCAACTTCGGCGATTTCGTAACAAGAGAGACAGGGTGACCCCTGTGTACCTCCCTGGTCACCCAGTGGCCCGGTGATCCCGCGGTGAATTCAATCGCGTGTGAAGTTTACGCTGAGCCGAGCCATGGGTCGCACGCACGCACCGTTTTTTTTTCCCAATGATCATTGTGGGCTTCTGAAATCGTTAGCGTGAAAATGCACATCCGATTAGCACGGTTGGCTACGTACGGTGCGACAGAAGTTCAGCATACTGTATATACAAGTGTGTGTGTGTGTGTGTTTTTTTTACGTAACTATATGTTCGGTAATGGGTTGTTTTAAATACATGTTTGCGAACGCATTTTTTTAATCCGATTTTTAAAAAGATGCTAAAATGTGAGCTTACTAGAACGAAACATTTAGGCGAAATATAAAACAAGTCTTAACAAATTCATCTTCTTTGGTTCTTTCGGTAAAGTCACGTAGAATGAGAATACAATAATAAATTGATCAAATAAAATAATAATATTCTCACGACGTTTCGGCCATAACACAAGCAGCCTTTGTGTCGTGGCCGAAACGTCGTGAGAATTTTATTGTGTTATTTTATTTTATCAATTTATTATTTTATTCTCATTCTACGTGACTTTACCGAAAGAACCAAATAAGATGAATCCTTGCAGTCACGAAAGCTTTAAATCGAAATCTTAACAAATTGTAAAATCGTGGGTGACAAAAAAAAGTGTAATGTTCATTGAAATGCAATTCAGATACAATGACGAAATATTGAGTTATTTGAGGAATCGACAAAACATGTTAAGTAATTACAAAATACTAACATGTTCATGAAATACTAAACATGTTCATTAAATATTAACATGAAAGCAAAAATAAATATGAAAAAATTCACTATGTTTCCATTGAACATAGCTTTAGTACGCTATAGATACTACACAGTTTTGGACCAACCTTATACCGTGCTCATTTTACAAGTCATGTGTTGGGAAATATATTTGCGTCGGCTTTTCTTTTGCTGTTTTTATTGTGGATCATTTTTATTTTTACGAGTGCTCAGCTATGTTGAAATACTTCTCCGAACCCATAACTCTGTGTAACGCAGCTGAATGTATGGTATGTACTTCCCCGTAGAGTTCATACTTTATGCTGAGTAACCATACGCAGTGGACAGGGGAGAGTTGGGGGGGGGGGGCAGTGATTCTCCCCCCCCCCCTGCTTTATAAAACCTCTCAACTTAAATTCGTTTTCGGGCAACGCCTGAAACAGTGACCCATACCTACCTGGTCACCCAGTGCCCGGGTGAACTGCGGTGAATGACATCGTGTGTGAAGTTTACACTTAACTGAGCCATGGATCGCACGCACGCACCCTCTTTGAAATGATAATTGTGGGCTTCTGAAATTGTTGGCGTGAAAATGCACATCCGATTAGCGTGGTTGGCTACGTACGGTGCGACAGAAGTTCAACATACATACAAGTGTGTGTGGTTTTTTTTACGTTACTATATGTTTGGTGATGGGTTGTTTTAAATACATGTTTGCGGAGGAATTTTTGTATTCTATTTTTAAAACGACTGAGATCGTCGTTGAATTTTGATGTGAACTAGTCTTGCAACCCTTCGCCAGCCTCCCTGCCATCATTCACCAATCCACACTGACCAGTTGGTAAAGTACGGTTAAACAACCCCCCATGATCGATATGACGTGGGCAGACCTTCACCCAGAAGTTCGGAATACGAATGTTTAAACCTCTTTCTATTCCACATCTTTTGCAAGACAATTAATCTAATTCCTTCCAATGTAGTCCGCATTTAAATGCTCAAATAAACATTTAGGTGGTGCTCATTCATTATCGACTCTGAACAAGTAGTGGACATTCCATATTCTTATGGCGGGGGACTGTGCATTCATAGCACGACCACTTGAATCCTCACAAGCTGCTTGCTACTCATTGTATCAACTCCAGAGCAGTTAAACTCTCAACCTGAGCCAATCGATTTTCACCTGGTTGTAATAAAATGGCATACTGTATATCTAAATTGTTCAACCACAGTGCCATGGCAAAAATACAATCTAGGAAATCAAACATGTTTTTGCTTTATAGTTTATTGGCACATGTACCAAACCACTGGTGAAGCCAGTGGGGGGTGGGGTGGCACGCACCCCCCAATGATCCGATCGAAATCCCTAATTTAGATCGGATCATTGGGGTTTATTAGTAATAAATCGGCATTTTGCGACCCTCACTGCCACTGTGTAGCATATTATTATGTGCCAGGGACTCTATGAGATGATAGGACAATAATCTGAGTCCATAGTTCGCAATAAGTCACGGCAAAGCAGTTATAAGCGACTAAGAATTGTGCGCAGTTGCGTATACAGTGCACGACTTCCCTGAAGGCATTCACCTTCAGCGAGCGCGATGCCGATCACACAACGCAGTTCGAATTCGACCCTCGATCGATGGCTGTGCCATTGCCGCACAAGCGTAGAATAAACAGCAAGGGACAAGTCCTTACTAACAACTCCTCTATCATTTTCCATTGCTGGAGGGGTTGCCCCCCCCCCTACCTGAAAATCCTGACTCTGCCATTGAACCAAACAGTAGGTCAAGTTACTCCACACCCTGCACATGAGGAAACTCACCTACAATGAGCCAGCATTATTTAAAACAATTATGATGGACATTAGATAAGTAGGTTATACACCATACTCTTTGGTTCTATTCGGTAAAGTCACGTAGGTAAAAAAATAAAACAAAAATCACGACGTTTCGGCCACAACACAAGTGGCCTTCATCAGGTGAAGGGACCAGCCTGTCTCGAAGACTGCGCTGGAGTGAAACAGAGCCAAGCTCAGACTGCGACCTTTATATACACCAATTTTATGAGAGAAGCTAAAGCAGTCACAATCTTATCCTTTCATTCTTAATCTCAGCAACAACTTTAGTAGACAATGTTCCTGCCCATGGCTAGCCATATTTCACATTCCTGTTTCAGTGTTGTAAACTGTACTGACCCCTATCCCTGACTACACTCAACTGTCAAGTTCATCATGCGCAATGACCGAAAACCTGATGTTACAAAGCCTTAAGGTCATATGCAACTATAGGCAACATCCAGACAATGGCTCGTTTCACACCATTGCAGCATAAGCTAGGAAATTAAGGGGTCACATTTTGGGGGCATGAGTGGAACCTAAGTTACCATATGGTGGAAGTGGTGACAAATTTTGTTTATAATCTTAGTTCTTTCGGTAAAGTCACGTTGAAGGGAAATAACAAAATAATAAAATATATATAAAACAATAAAAATTCTCACGACGTTTCGACCATAACACAAACGGTCGTCTTCAGGTGTGTTGGTTTGAATAAATTTATTTTCAAACGGTGTATTTATTTATTTATAATATAAAAAAAACGTTAGCGCCACGCGCAGCGATTTGGCAGTTTATTTAGGACTAGTCCATCTAAGTTCTGAAAAGAGGAGGGGGGAGACGAATTTTTTTTTTAATGTATGCTGTCTGAAAGCCACTGTAAGCGTGAACAATCAATTAAGACCTGAAATGGTTTATCAAATCTTAACAATGATTGCTAAGATAGAATCCATCTTCTCGGTTGAAATTGTCTCTGTGCTTGTTTATGTGGATAGCCTCATGAACGAATCTCTCATGGTAGCCAGATGGCTTACAAAGAACCTCTGTCTTGGAGAAGTCAATGTCATGTGAGCCTACTAAATTATAACAATGATCTGCCACGGCCGAGGTGTTGGTCCTACCGTGTTTAAGGTCTGCTTTGTGTTCACGAATGCGGTCCGAGACATGGCGTTTGGTTTCTCCAATGTAACTACTACCACAGAGGCAACTTAGTTTGTAGACACCAGGGTATTGTATGTCCGGAATCACATATTTTACAGACGGAACCAGATCACGGATTTTATGTAATGTGTTGAAACGGACCTGGATCTTGTGCATTCGTGAACACAAAGCAGACCTTAAACACGGTAGGACCAACACCTCGGCCGTGGCAGATCATTGATATAATTCAGTAGGCTCACATGCCATTGACTTTTCCAAGACAGAGGTTCTTTGTAAGCCATCTGGCTACCATGAGAGATTCGTTCATGAGGCTATCCACATATACAAGCACAGAGACAATTTCAACCGAGAAGATGTATTCTGGCTTAGCAATCACTGGAAGGATTTGATAAACCATTTTGGGTCTTAATTGATTGTTCACGCTTACAGTGGCTTTCAGACAGCATACATTAAAAAAATTCGTCTCCCCCTCCTCTTTTCAGAACATAGATGGACTAGTCCTAAATAAACTGCCAAATCGCTGCGCGTGGCGCTAACGTTTTTTTTGTTTTATAAATAAATAAATACACCGTTTACAAATAAATTTATGCAAACCAACACACCTGAAGACGACCGTTTGTGTTATCGTCAAAACGTCGTGAGAATTTTTTATTGTTTTATATATATTTTTATTATTTTGTTGTTTCCCTTCAACGTGACTTTACCGAAAGAACTAAGAATATGAATTACTGCAGTCACGAAAGCTTTAAATCAAAATTTTGTTTATTCACTGTGCAAAGAATCTAGTCACACACCGGTGTACTGTACGATTAATGAATTGGCATGTTT